TATTTTTAAAAATCAAAATCACCAGTTCTCCTAAATTCTCAACAAGTTAAGTGCAGCCATGCCCAGTCCTGATATAATCAATACATGGGTCCCTTCAAACTCTGCTTTTTGGGGTCCTTCTAAATGAAGTCGTGGCCTTGGAGAAAAGAGCACTGGTTCCCTCTACAATCCACAAGCATAGCTTGTGCATTCTCTTCTAAAGGGAACTCCCATGCCTGGCTACCCAAAGGTGCATATCCTGTATTTAATGTGAAACTTTTATTTTGCTATTCTGTACTCCAGACGCAGCCTCAAGGTTAAAGTTCTAATTAAGAGCAGCTTTCTTTTCTTAAAGTACCTAGCAACAGAGGGCCACAATCCACAACTGCTACCACAATAAAAATATTAAAGTAACAAAGCAAACGGACAGGCCTGGAATTACAATGGACCCTATGATCACACTGCTACTATATTTTTTTGATGACACGAGGCAGAGAGAAATCTAAAACATCTCTTAGAGCAGAAACAAATGTTTTAACTCTGAGCTTTCAGTAACGATGGCTGCAGAAACATTGGACTGAGTTTCACTAACAACTCACCTTTGTAAACAGATTCCTCTCTGTTGTAACATCTGCCAAGTGTTGGTATAAAATACTGAAGATATTATGGGCCAAATTCTGGCCTCAGATGGAGTACCTTGACTGGACTCAGTGGAGCATCCCCAACCCCTCCCTGGCACTCTTTGGAACCTGTAGCCCAATTAGAGCTTCCTCATACCAGGTTCAGTGGGGGGGATGTGCTCTTCCAGTGAACCTGCACTAGCGAAGCCATCTTGTGACTTTCGAATCTCAGTGTCACATGGTTTAGACCAGAAGCCAGGCAAATCTTGATGGTTTTCAGCAGGATTTTACTTCACATTTTTGGATGAATTAAACCAGATGAAAGATTGCATAAATCCCCGAAAATGCCAACTTTTGCACTGCTTTATATGTAACAGCATGTATAACACACTGTGGTCATATCCATACTGAAAATATGGGGCTACATCCTCAGTAGATATAAACTGGCATAGCTCCACTGACCCCAATTACTGAGACTGTAAGCTCCTTGGGGCAGGGACCATCTTTTTGTTTTATTGTACAGTGCCTCACAGAACGGGGTACTGGTTTATGACAGGGGCTCCTGCACATTACGGTAATACAAATAAACATGAAAATTTGGTCCATGGGCATTAGTAGGGATTGAACCTGGGACCTTCAGCACCAAAACCACAGGCCTACGCCACTTGGGCTAAAGAAGAACGCCTTTTAAGAACTTGGGCGGCATTGTTATAGTTGCAGGGACCAGACACTAGATGGAGACATGAGCACAGGCACTAAACCAGGATGTGCTATCTGGACTGGGGAATGCCCCCTCCTCAGATGGTGCCATGAAGCATTTTAAAGATTCTAAAAATAAAAGGTATCTATGCCCCATGCAGTCTCTCAAGATGTTCCACGGTCATCAGCCTTCTAGAAGATTAATCTTTATTGAGCTATTAGTGGAAAGGAAGATAAATCCTGTGGCTGCCAAAGGGCATGGACACTTAGATTACTAGTTGGTGGTAATGTCTTTGCTCATACATAAAACATATCATAATTTGGCTGTGTTGTCTTTTTTTTATTACTAAGCTTGAAAGAACCTATAAAGCAAGGAAGGAACTTACAAGGATTTTACGATATTAATTTGTTACTTGCTCAGAGTGTTTTGGACAGTTCTTTTTCAGTGTGTGTCCTTAAGTATTCTATTAATTTTTAGTGCTATTGAAAATGAGAGGCTGACAGTACTGGCAGCAGCTTGGCTTAACAGCATGAGCAGATGCTGAGAACGCCATCCCACACAGAAGTGTTTCTGAAGCACAAGGCTACTCTTGTTCCAGTACTAGCCTATAGCTACTGAAGAGACAAAGTGAGTAAGGCAATATCTTTTATTGGACCAACTTCTGTTGGTGAAAGAGACAAGCATTCCAGCTACACAGAGTTCTTCTTCAGGTCTGGGAAAGGTAGTCAGAGGGTATGTCTACACTTAAGACACCCATGACTGGCTCATGGCAGCTGACTCTAGCTAAGAGGCTCGGGCACACGGGCCCTCCCACCTCTCAGGGTCCTAGAGCTCAGATTCCAGAGTGAGCTGGAACATCCACACTGCAATTAAACTGCTCCTTCGCCCAAGCCTGCAAGCCTGAGTCAGCTTCCATGGGCCAGCCAGGGGTTTTTAATTGCAGTGTAGACATACCCAGAGTGTCACAGCTAAATACAAGAGGGAACAGATGGCTTGGCATAAGTTGTTAACACATACTGTAAGAGACCATTCAAGGTGAAGGTGTTAACAGCCCACTTCACCTTGAATGGTTTCTTCCAATATGAATTAACTACTTACGCAAAGCCATCTGTTCCACCTTTGTATTTAACTGTGACCACTCTGAGTACATTTCCCAGACCAGGAGAAGAGCTCAAAAGCTTGTCTCTTTCAGCAACAGGAGTTAGTCTAATAAAAGATATTACCTCTCCCACCTTGTCTCTGTAATATCGTGAGACTGACACGGCTCAACAACACTGCAATCTACGGAAGAGACATTTCCAATCCTGCCACATGCTATGTGGAGAGTTTTTTAGGATTACCATATTGACAAATGCTAACTTCATACTGGTTTGAAAATATCAGTTCCTCACACCCATCATTTTGATCAGATCTGAAGTGCAGTCATCAGAATGGGAAGGTCAGTGCAACTGCTCACTGAGCTCCCTTGAAAAGGTGCTAATATAGCATCAAATCAGACAAGTTATTGGGCTAGATGCAGGAATCACGGGATGAAATTCTAAAGCCTGTGTTATGAGGGGATCATATTAAATTAACACAATTGTCCTTTATCTGGCCTAAAACTATATGAAAATCAATTTACAAAGAATTATACTGCTACACAACACAGCTGAAGAGCTTGTATTGAAATTTAAAAATAAATGCAAGCCAGCAAAGCTGTTGTTCCAGAATCCAGTTAACAATATCTGTCTACTTTCAAGTTTTTTTTTTCATCTGGAAGCTTGATAGACTGTTCCCCTTTGTTACACATTTCAGATTCAATATGCTACTTCCAATTAAACACCTCACATTTATTGCATTATTTGGCCTTTAGTGTTCACATGTGTTCCTTTAGTTCCTACCAGTGTGAGAAGACAATACCCTTAAGGCGAATGAGACTATTTGTATGACAGGTATTAGGCTCTGGGAAGACTCCAAGGGCTCTGATGGGAGCCTGCAGGTGTGTGTTTTCAAATACCTTCAAATGAATAGTACCCAGTTCCTCCAGAAATGCAACGTTTTGTAATAGTCTTCTTCAGACAGGATTGATGCTGTGTATCCAGGCTTTGCTAACACGCCCATCACCCTCATGTTTAACAACTGATTCTCATCAAACTTAGACCCCACTAGAAGATGATCTCGTCCATAGTTCTTTGTATTTAGTCATATATTTATTGAGCATATTGCTCTTATTTACATAAAGCCTGATTCTTCTCTCACTTAAAATTAGTATAATTTCAGTGGACTCACTCTGGATTTACACTGGTGCAAGAGAGCAGAATTTGTTCCACAGCACAATCTGTTGCCTTAGTCCTTACAGATTATCAACAAGAAGGGAATATGATTAAATTTTATTAACAAGTTTATTAAAAATTAGCACCATTTCAACATGATATGTGTACAACAGAAAGTACAGTACAGTTTTGAGTAACATCTCACATATGCTTGGAGTAGTGGTTATAAATTCAGAGACATATTATTGCTATGCACATGTTTATTAAAAGCAATAAAAAGAACAGAATAAACAATTTATGCTTTACAAATATGATATAGCTTTGGAACTTTAGACTTTAAGATTTTGATCCTACAAAGGCCTTAGCAGGCATGACCATTATCCAGCATGGAGTTCCATTGGTGAACAGATTCACTGGATCACCATGTGGGTCATGCATCAGTGCTTGTGGATCCTTTTGCAGGTCATGGCCTTATAGAGTATCTGACCCAATTGCACAAGTTTAAAAGAACAAGAAGGTGGAGGTTTATGAGTCCATAGATTCACAAGGGAATGTAGTATATGCACATAACTCTTATTTACTTCAATAAGAGCTACTCCTGGGGGAATTCTGTGCCACTGCGCATGTGCAGAATTTATATCCTCCACAGATTTCTTTGTTTCCCCCAGCAAAATGACTTTCTGACAGAGAAGCAAAGAGAATCCACAAGTGCGGTCATGTAACCCTCCCCAGCAGTATGTTTCAGGTGCCCAGGGCAGCTGGCAGAGAGGTAAATCACTGTGGGGCAGGAGGTGGGACTGGGGAAGACCCAGCTGGTGGCTCTTACCCTGCGCCAGGCTCAGCTGCTAGTCCCAGATGGGCTGAGTGGGATGGGACTTCCTCTTCCCCTGCACGGCACCCAGGACTGGGTTAGACCCACCCCCAGATTTCTGCCCCAGCTGTAGGAAGCTCTGCAAGCTCCCCTCCCTCCCCGCCCCAATTCCTGCACCCATTGCTCTTCAGCTGCAGGGGGAGGGATCACTGTACAGGGAGCTGCTCCCCCATCCGCGCAAACCCTGTGCATCCAGACTCTCTCATACTCAGACCCTCCCGCTGAGCCTTACACCCCACGACTTGCACCCAGAACCCTCCCTGATAAGTACCCCGGCCCCTGCACCATCCTGATGAGTCACCCGCACCTGGATCCCCACCCTACTGAGCCCCAACCAACTGCACCTGGATCCCCACCCCACTGAGCCTCACTACCCCAGCATCTGCACCCCCTCCCACTGAGTCCCCCACACCTAGACCCCCTTGCCGAGCTCTATCCCCCCCCACACCCATAGCCCCTCCTTGCTGAGCCCCAACCACCTTCACCTGGACCCTCCTACAGAGTCCCATTACCGTTGCACCCAGAACCCCCCAACAAGCCCCTATGCATCCAGATCCCCCCCACACCCGGATCCCCCACTGAGCCGCCTCCACCCAGATTGCTCCACACAGAACCCTCTCAACCCACACCTGGATCTCCCACACTAAGGCCCTCCACACTTGGATCCTGCCTTGCCATATCTGCCTGCCCACACCTGGGGCACCTGGCATGGAGGGGCAGGGCCCTGGAGTGTTTCTGGGGCAGGCCCAGTCCTTGTGCTGAGTCAGAGTTGGGTGCAGCCTCACTGCTGAGTCTGTGCCCCGGGTGGGAGCTGCACAGTGATCTCCCACCTCTGTGCAGCCAGTGGCCTGCGCTCCCCAATGCCATGCTGGAGCCTCCACATTTATTTGACAAAGAAAATGTGCAGAATTTTTCCGAATTTTAAAATATTATGCATAGAATTTTTATTTTTTGGCGCAGAATGCCCCGAGGAGTAAAGAGCTATTCCTAGGACTCTGTTCCCTTCTCCCTGGTAAAAGAATAAATTCTGAAATAAACATGATTTTTTTTGGCATGGGTAAACCAGCAATAACAATCAGTGATGCTTCCAAAATGTGTCCATAATTTCCATGTTTGTCCTGTTGGCAATTTCTGATACTGTGCTGGTTATTACTTAGGCAAACAGAAACCTGCAGCCAATCAAAATAATAGGGTTAATAAGAAATCTGGGCAAACTTTAATAGCTATGGTTCTTAAACATAAAAAGGATAAAAGTAGAACAGTAAGTTTTGGCAGTGAGGAGCAGGGAATTTTCAAAATCCTGATGGTTTCCCTATGAAGATAGTATTATAATTATAGAAATCTAACCTAAAACATGCTGCTCTGATTGCTTAAACTCACATTGAGTAGAATTCTGCTGGCTTCATCAGGTCATAGTCTACCCATTTAGCTGCTTGTAAGTCTGGAGTTGATTCAGATTTACACCAATGTAAAAGAGCAGTAGTGACCTGTGTGTTCATATAACATGCTTGTTATATTCAGAATACAAAGTCCACGAATGTCTAGAAATTCCACTATGACTGACTGACATGACATGGGAAATAGGTTGCCAAGGAGAGTGCACCAAGCTGAAGATACAAATGAATTTAAAATATACTAAATCATAGGACAGGAAGGGATCTAGTCCAGTCCCCCTGCACTCATGGCAGGACTAAGTATAATCTAGATCATTCCTGACAGGTGTCATTGCCGAGACATTTCAATGCTAACTGTCATCCTAGCAGTTTATACTGGTATTTTACTAAACAGAATAAATGATCTATTAAAATGTATGACATTGTTTTAGTAACAAATAAAACTCATTTGCCACAGTTTAACAAAATGAGTGTAACAGAAAACTATTTAACACCTTTCCCAGGACAAAAAAGCCCATGTAGTTTATTTAACAACATTCTGTAGGCACATAATTCCCTCTTTGGTAAATGTTGTTCACCAACGGTAAGAAGTAGCACCCACAAATTGTTCACAATATTCCAAGTAAGTTTTCAATTAGTTAGTACCTAACTAATGATAACAGATCTTGGGCCTAGCCCTGGGCAGAAAATGATTTTCCCATCCTGTAATCATTTGAGATTTCAAAAACATTTCCCTGATCCAAATTGGAACAAAAAGTCATCCTCAAAAATTTCTGCTAATTGAAAATCCAATTTTTTTTTGCACAGGTCAATCAAAATATTCCATTCTGAATGTCAAAGTGTTTCAAAATTCTTTGTTTCCATAAATTAACTTACATTTCAAAACAAAAAGTCTTTTCAACCAGAAAAATATCAAAAGATCCTGGTTTGACCATTTCAAAATTTTCTTTTAAAAAATGTTTGCATAGACAAAATTTGTCAGAACTGACCCCATTTATGCAAACAGTTTTGGTTCTGAGGAACTAGCCTTTTCTGATGAAAAATGTTTTTCAAAATATTCCTGACCAGTTCTAGCTGGGCCTCTAATTCGGTGGGAAATAACCTATATTATTCTTATTGTTTTCTTGACAATGTGTCTTATGTCTTACTTGGGTAATTGTTTTAAGAAACAGTACAGACAAAATTATTAATTCCATTTCCAGTACATATTTACAGTGCTCAGTTAAAGTACTGTGGAAAATGTAAACAAGAATACACTAAAATAAAGAGGGGTATGGTAAGAAAAATAGAACAGTCCTTTGAAAACACAGGTTCTGCTTATAAATATGGCTTCTTAAAGGGTTCTTTGGTAAGCAGCTCTTATTACAGTTAAATACATGTATTATGAAAAACAGTAAACATTGTGTACTACTACAAAATAGCATATGCCAAAATTGGTTCTTTGTGCATCAGTTGCTGAGTAAACAAACCATACATTTGTCCAAAGACTGTGGGTATTGTCCCTAAGTTCAAAGTCCTGAGCATAATGCATTACTTGCAATATCTATGTTTTTTTGGGCAGTCACTTTTGCCTTGTATTGCATATCTCTCTTGTAGTTAAAAACAAGGCATTGGAGTCTCCTCTCTCACAGTTTGAGCCTGGTATAAACTCCATTCACTTCAGTGGAGTTACTCCTGAATTACACTACTGTAAGCTGAGAATCAGGGCAGTGTGTCTTTAAAAAGGAGACTTAAAATGACAGCAGCAGCTGGTCTAGGCCCACTGAGAGTTGTTTGTTTCTGGGTAACTCCAGGCCATCGCTGTTTCTGCCCTCATTTACATCAATGTAAACTGGGAATAACTCCACTCATGTCCATTGTGTTACTAAGTAGAACTGGTGTGAGATCAAAATTAGGCCCTGTGTCTTTCTGGCTCAAAGCACTGTTGGTTAATTAATTCTGTTATTGTCACAGGAATGTTTGGAATTACTTTCAATAACAGCGTAGTCATGGACAACAATAGTCATACTTTCATTATGCTTAACAAATGCCAACCAAACCTCTAATCGCTCTCAATAGATCACAACCGGAGTTCAAGTCCCAGGTGAGCAACAGTGGCCTGCTACTGACTGGGCAGCTAATGAATTGTTCAAGACCTCAGCTGAAGCTTGGGATGCTTTATCTGGACAGTGTCTGACTGCAGAAATCAGAGACTACCACAATTGCAACGATGAACCTTTTAAAAGGAAAACCAGGGCCTTTTCCTGCAGTGTCGCCATTCGTGTGTCATGATGTGTGAAAGAGAGCTTAAGTGGCAACACATACAATCTTTCGCTAAATTCCATGCCGCTTTTGAGTAAGTTCCACTTTTTACCCAGTCAGACTGAGAGTTGCTATGAACAGGCTTATAACTTCTAACCGATCAGAACAATGGTACAAATTGGTGCCATTAAATCTTTCATCCCATGAGGGTCAGGACACTAAAAATCCAGAACATTATATCTTTACAGTTACTTAGTCCTATATTAAAAGGATAACCTGTAAAATGGACAAAAATAGTATTAACTATATTTTCAGTAACCATGATCACTTTGTTTTACAAAGTGACCAACAGATAACATTGAACAAAGTCAGAACCATTTTAAATTCTCAGAATTTAACGTCTAACTTCACCAAACTGGGTAGTACAAGCACAGTACAATGTCTTGTTTACAAAGGAGATATAATTTATCTTAAAATCACCAATAATCAGACATCTCTGCCTGCTTCCCACAGCATCCTCAAAAGATATACCTTTCTTCTGAAATGAAAAGGGGATGTTTCTTTGAGAGCCACTCAATGGTTTGACTTTGACAAACCAGCAAAACTGAATCTACATGAAGAAAACCCATACAGATTCCATTCTGTTCTCTGGTAGCTAGACTCTTTTCCATAAACCAGATCTAAGCTTGAGACCTTGGAGTTCAAATAGGTATTATCACCAGTCTCCTTGTCAGCTGGGTTTAGAAAGCCACTGGTATTTAATGTGGCTTATTGTAAATGTGTATATTACATTTTTTATCATGATAGTCTTGAAATATCAGTATTGCTAAAAATATTTTCCCCCACATGTAATTCAAACAATACGTGACAACGGGAATCTGAAAGAATGTCCAGAGTGGATTAATTGAGAAGTAGGAGGTTAAGAATAAATAAATGAAACAGGTTAGAAGTTTTAAAAAGGGATCCAAACTACTTATTGGCCACTGTTGTCTTCCATGAAAAAGTGTGAATATTTCAGCACAGTTCAAACTGAATTCAAGCAGTTCTTGTACCCAAGTTTAAATACTGTCTGTGCCTATAAAACAATTCATTTATTAGTCCAAGCATTGCTGTTGTAGAGATCTTGAAAAAGCATTCCCTCATTCCTGAGTTTGTTCTTCATAAGAAGGAAGTTTTGGAGGGCCTCCTAGAGAATTAAGTAGAAATAGTTTTGGTGCCATATAATGCAACTGTATGAGATTTAATATAGGTTACACAATAAACATTTTGATAATGCAGCCTCCATCAGCAAGCAGAGGACTAGGTGATGCTTGTTTCCTAGGTTATAGACAGAGAGAATGACCTCAGTAATAACGGCAAAGGCCACTTGCATTTAGATCTTTCATATCGATGGATCCTAAAGTGTTTCCCAAACTAAATGCAGAATTGTATGGTAACATTAATGAACTGTCAGCACTACATATCACAGATGAGAGGGGTAATTTAAACTAAGGACCCTAGGAAAGAGTGTCATGGGGTTTTTAATACCCTCACAAAGCAGAGAGGATCTCTATTTTCCACGGTCTCACCTACCCATCGGGCCATCAATAGCATTTCAGCTTGGTATCTCGTAATTAACAATAGGTAGATATATCATTGACCTTCGAGTGTATGGGAGATATACATTGATCATTAACTTCCTTCTTTACCTTCCTGAGGCTGCGAGTTTAACAAATTTTAGGCATGCCCCCCCGGGGTGGAGGGAGGGGGCAAAAGAGGTACAGCTGTGCAGTGGGAGGCATTTACAGTATTACGTGCGGTAGGCATTCAGGCCTTTGTCTTTGTTGAGGGAAACTAGCTTTAAATTGCATCTGGGACTTCAGTGGGACCCCCCCCTCAGACATGCTGAATAAGTACATCTCCCAGCTGGTCAATCCTCACCTCCTCCTGGAATGTTCCTATCTACTTTGATGGCTGCAACAGCTAGCTTCAGGCCCTCTAGCAGAGTGGCTAACATGGGTCGCTTAAACATTCCAACCCCCTCCAGGTGGACTTTCTGCTGCCAGGGGCTCAGAGCCCACATTCCACTGGCACAATCCCGTGGTACCCAAATAGTGACAAATCTGGCCTTTCAACTGCATTCTTTCCCAAGATAAGCAGACACTTCTTTGAAATTTTCTGTTTAGAAGAGCTACCATCTCTTTCCTGTGTTACCTTCTTCACAGGTTGGCCCCATCCACTTGGCAGGACACATGCAGCTCCCATTGTGAGGATGACACTGGGATTTGTTGGCACACTGGCATCTCAGAGAGCAGCTGGGGCCATACTGGTCTGACCTGCATTCTGGAAGGGCAAAACATTTCAGCAAATGTTTACTGCACAGATTTAAAACCGCTTAGTGTCTTTGACTCAGCTAAGCACTTTGGGTAGAGAAGAGGGTCTGAAAGGAAAGGAAGAAGCAGAAAAGAGGAGGGGGGAGGATATGGGTAAGGAGAGGAGAACAAGACTTCTTCTCAGGAACCAATAGAACCATGTGTCACAATTCATTAGAGAAGTTCAGTATAAGACATAGGCCCTGACCTTGGTAGAAGATGGGGAATGGTGTAGAAAACATATAGAAAACAGGGCAGATTAACTTTGAGCCAATATCAGAGTTTCAGGGGAAAATGTCTCACACAGTTTGAAACTGGGGATTTTTCTCCCTGAGAGATCATGAAAATTCCTGGCTTTTTCACTGGAAAAAACTCTGAATGGCTCAACTGAGAATCGAAATGTCATTCTCCATTTGTGATCTGGGTGTGACATGGTAAAACTTTGTTGGGGTCAGCTCTGGAACAGAAAATATCACTGACTATCGTTATTTGCCCATTCCAAATTGCTGAAGGTTTTTGTTGTGTTAAAAAGCTGACCTCTCTTTTGCCTAAGGTAAATACTCATCTGTATAAAACAAAGAAAGGAGGAGAACTGACTTATTATCCTGTATGATTAATTGCCTTGGACCTTGGTACACACCTCCACTGCTCATCTAGCATACTCTGTTAGTACCATGAAAACAATTAGAGACCCAGACTTGCTAAACAATAAGAAAAAACACACATTTTGGAAAGCCTTGAAGCCTGTGTTTGTCATCCACTAACTGGTCCTGCCTCACTGGTCCAGCCAATTCATGGTCAAAAAGTCTTAAAGAAGTTCCCAATATGAGAACTGTAGCAGGTATGAGAGTGGATGGTGACAAACTTATGCCCCCTGAACTAAGCCACTGAAAGGGAGTTGCGGATTTCTTCAAGCAGGCTATTGTCATTTTATAGATTCTTACTGGCTTCCACAATTACCCAGTGCAATTCTTGGCTCTCTATGCATGGCACTATGTAATCTTCACATAAACCAAGACAGGCAGAGTCAATCTGAAAATTATTTCATATCACCCTTTATGACCCTAAGAACCTCTCAATGCCAACTGGCAAAGGGTTCACTGTTCTGTAACAGCAACTTCTATCAGGCCCAACAAACTCACTACACCTCCACACTGCTTTCATAATATTTATCCAAAAAGGGTCATGTGAGGTGCCTAATAAAAAGCTTATGTCCTACTGAGTCTCATAATCATTGCAAGAAGTACAGATGATATTTATGGAGTTGTACTTATGTACTAAAAATATATTTTAGATTCTGTGCCCTAGGCTGGATTGACAAATAGGTTTTGCCAGGCAAATAGATGTATATTCACCTGTTTGCCGAGGTTCTTATGTAGATTAAGCACTGAAGACAACACAATGGAAGCCTGTTTTGGATATGGAGACAACACCAACACGTGAAGGCAACCGCGGGGACAAAACAATGAGTTTTGGGAAATATAAGGAAAAGCAAAAGGACATCTTGTTATCCATCACTGAGGCAGCAAAAAAGAACTGTGCGTTTTGCATCCATGAAAGGTGGATCTCAACCATTTTGGCTGGTAATGTGGGGAGTCATTTTAGGTTAGAAAGTGCTTTAGACTAGGGATTTTAGCCTGTTAAAGATAACTTTAGACTCTAAGAAGTGTGCTGTACTTTTTGTTTTATATGTAACCATTTCTGTTTCTATTATCCCTACTCAGTATCTCTGAAATCTTTATTTCTGGTAATAAATTTATGACTGTTTTCACTATAACTATATCTCAGTGCTGTGATGTTATAAAGGGCCTGAGTTGTACCAGCCAAGCTTTGCCTACACTGCTCTCTGGGGGACAGCAAAGCTGGTAATTCTGTGAGTATCCTGTGAGAGGCTGGATACTACAGGGAGACAAGAGTGCTGGAACTAGAAGTGCTGGGGGTGCAGTAGGTGTTATGCCCATCATGCAAAATTCTATTTACCTATTCTATTCACCAGGCTAGTAAAACATCATTATGCTTTTTCATGATCATCTATCTCCACTGCAAGAGATGAGTAAATAGGTTTTGTGCCTCATTTTCATCACAACTTTTCAAAGTTGTTTATGCACTTAGGATACATGCCTGGAGGAAAACGTAGCAACAGGCTGGGAAGGCAGGGTGCTAAATACATTGTAAATAACAGCTCTTCCCCCCCAAAGAACTCATTGTAAATATAAAGAATCTTTTCCCTTTCACTGCACCAAGCAGTATGTAAATAAAAATGTTTCCAATTGCCGTTTCAGCTACTAACCCACGTGTGGGGGAATTCTTCCCTTGGTCTCAGAAGCTTGGTTTTTTCAATTAGGAAATGTTATGAGACAGGGTCTCCTGAACACCTCTGGACCTGATTTTTATTTATGTAATACCACATTTTCATGATAACAACAAAGTGTATTTAAGACATCTGTTTGAAAGTCTGCAATGCTAATTTACCAGAAAAAAGAGGTCCCATAAAAGCTTGTTATATTCTCTCTTTTTTTTTAATTAACATTTTGGCTGTTTAATGGGTGCCTTACCAGAGTTCAAATTAAAATCAGGCCTTTTATCTTTATAGCTGCTGCATAGTCACAGCTGTTCACAGTTATATCACAGATGAACGGAGCCTAATTGAAAATAAAAACGCAAATAAAACCTGCTCCATAACTGCTTTTCATGGATGGGGGTTGTGACTAGCAGGTTTAAGAAAATAAAAATCCCTCCCTTTCTTTGAAAGAAGCAGAAACTTTGCTCACATTTTCAACGCTAAGCTTCCCCCTTGCGTTTCATTTCTGCCTAAAGTCACTGGCAAGATCTTTGGATTCATGCAGCCTTACTCACTGTATTGTGTGGTTCAACTCTCCATTCAGACCACAGGGTCTGGAGATTGATTTTTGACCACAGGACAGTGCAGCAGGGGAAGCAAGTCATTTTCTTTTTTAGCTTTTGGGTTGCACCAACTTGTAAGTTTCCAGCAATTATTTAACCTCTCGTTTTCATTGATAATGTGCTCCGTTTTTAACTGCTTCATGCTATTTCCCAGAACAAAAGGACCCTTGAAAAGTGGTTCTGGTATTCTCCAACTGAGATCTTAAAATATTAGTAGTGACTCAGCATGTTTACTTTAGTATTTTTTACCTTTTATAATGGGGACCTGATTCCGCGCTCAAGTTTAATTCCATTTACTTCAGTACAGTTACTCTGGATTTCTGCCAGTGTGACTGAGATCAGAATCTGGCATGAGGATTTTAGCTGCCATCTACACTCTGTCACAACTACCACAATTTCATTAGGACTCAGCTGTTGTAAAGAAAAAACTAGAATTTTCTCCCCCACTTTTATAATTTTGATACATAGGGAAGAATTCTACCTTGCTGAGCAAATCAGTTACCTAGTACACACTCCAAGGGCCTGCTGCGTGCTGGGGAGTTTACTTGGATCAGGACCTGTAAGAGTATGTCTACACTGTAATTAGACACCTGTGGCTGGCCCATGCCAGCTGACCTGGGCTCATGGGGCTCAGGCTAATGGGTTATTTAATTGTGGTATAGATGTTGAAGCTCAGGCTGAAGCCCAAGCTCTGGGACCCTTCCACCGCACAGGGTACTAAAGCCCTGGCTCCAGCCCAAGCCTGAACATTTAGAGCTCCTTAGCCCCCATCAGCTCCCGAGGGCCAGCTGTGGGTTTTTAATTGCAGTGTAGACCTACCCTAAGACAACTTCTGTAGCCCAGAGCCGGCAGTAGCTGCTATAGCTCCTGTATTATTGTTCTCTGGGGACAATGGTCAATGTTTCCACATGGGGGTGGAATCATAGATCCTTGACACAGCTTTGGCCTTGGTTTGCAAAGCTCTGCCCACAAGTCTGAGTGCAAAAGCAAGCAGAAATATCTCCGAAGTCCAGTTTACAGCCCCCTGCAAGAGTCCTCCCTTACTCTGCACAGTTGCTGTTTGCGAGTTTCTGAATGTATCCATTGGTAGTGTGTTGTTGTAAAATAGAGGAGAATAACATTTTAGGGATGGTCCACATACAGTTTTTCTACCACTATAACTATATTGGTTTAGAAACTGATATAGTTAAAAGTGGTACCACCTCCTTAAAAAGGTTCTTATATTGGCATAGCTTATTCCCACAGGGAATGAGCCATCCTGATAGCAATCCTGCATAACTGCACCCACACAAGGGGGTTGTACTGATAAGTTTCTAAGCCCATGTATAGGTACAAAAGTCTTGTGTAAATCAGCCCTTGAAGGGTGTTTAATGATCTTACCAATGGTGCATTTGTCTCCAGTCCTGCCAGGTGGGCAAAGGCATCTTCCAGTTACAGGTTCACATGAGGCTACTCCTTCACAGTCACACTGATGCTGACATTTGTCTCCAAATCTTCCAACATTACAGCCTAACAAAAAGAACACTTTTTTATGTGCTGTACACACCAATAGCAAGAAACACGTTATTTCGGTAGAATCTTTCACTCATATCTCCTAGAACTCATGAGCTCGAATGTGAATCTAGTATGAATTGCCACACTTTAATGAAAGACTTACAGATGGAAGAGCCTTAATACTTGCATGCTTTCTTTTTATTCAGGCTAAATCTAATTCAACCTATTGCAGGTATTTGTAACATGCCCCAGCACTGTTGCAATTAGGTACTTCATTTGATTTTTAATCAAACAACCAGCAGAGAAATATTATGTAACTTTCAACATGAGAGGTAAGAATACTCACTTAATCTAGTTGATACTCTTATTTGAAATGTTAGTGGCAAACTTAAAACTGTATAGAAGCCATTTGTTTTGTGAAAGTAACCTGTGGAACTCATCTAATCAATGAGACCAAGTGCTTAGCATTATTCAGAACAGGATTAGACATTTATATAGGATACGAGAATATCCAGAGATCTGAGTAAACAACCCAAGAGTTTAGAGTTTCAGGGCATAATCCAAGCTCTAATAAGGGTCACAAAGAATTTTTTCCTATGGATAGATTATTCCGTAACTGTCTCCTGCAGGTTTTCTTGTGCCTTCCTCTGAAGCAGATGTTACTGTCCACTACTGGAGAGAGAATAATGGACTAGATGTGAATGTAGTATGGAAATAGCTACATTTCATTTGCTTTTTAATGATCTGAATATCTGATAGAATGTCATAATTTTTCCTTTGGGAAACATTCTTTCAAAAAGACGAATGTTAGGGCATGACAAGCATGGTGTGATTGTGGACAAGGTCATTGATCCAGATGTTTTTGATAGAACAATTAACAGTGAAATGGTTAATGATAAGATTCCACAGTGTCCAAAAATAAATAAAGTCTTCTTTGAAAAATACAGAAGTAAGAAGACAGAACACATATGGTGCCAGGCCCAAATTACATAAAAAAGTTTACACACACCTTTTTCACACTGGACACCTTCATAGCCTTCAGGACAAATGCACTGTCCAGTCACTGGATTGCAAGTAGCTCCATTTTTACAATCACAAGAGTGAATACAGTTTAGACCATAAAATCCAGCAGGGCAGGCTGGGAAATGAAAGGTTACAAATGTTATTTTGGCAACGGGACAAAAGTATATGCAGAAAAAGAATACACCATCCTGTAAGTCTGAGAGTTTCCTGCTATATCTGCAAGAAGAGAGTTAACAATAATAATTATTACATGGGCCCCACTCATTCTGCAAGATACTTGAGCATATCTGTGGTTTTAAACTTGTGAGTAGTCCCATTGACTTCAATGAGATTATGTGCTTGAAATTATGCACATTCTTAAGTAGCTTGCCGAATCAGGGCCGCAAAGAGAGACAATTTTTAATTGAAACACCAAAAAGTGCACATGACTGCTCTGGGTACATACATAATTTTATTGCTGGACTATAGAACTACTCAGGCCCTTGCATTAGGATCCACTAACACAAACCCCTGATGCAAAGTTGAGGCCTTCTTTCTCTGAGAGGATTGTCTACTTACTGTGCTCACAAGAGTGCCCATAGTAACCTTCTGGACATTGGCAGCAACCAGTAAACCTGTCACAAGATCCATTGTTCTGACAGGAGCAGTTTAAGTGGCAATCAGAACCATATTTACCCGGGGCACATTCTGTTAATAAAAAGAACAAAAAGTTTTATTTATCCACACTTCACACTGGAAAGACACGTAAGGAAATAATACTAGTCAGAAAAGATTTTATTTTTTTATTTTATTTTTATTTTAATAGCTAAGAACTATTTGTTGTGAATTTCCTCCCCACCTGTGTGAAATTTATCTGCTTTATGGGTTCACTAAATTTCTGCATAACTGGGAACAACTTAACAAATTTGTGAGAGAAATATTTTTCACTATCTGGATGTTTATGCAATACTGAAAAGCCATTTTCTTTCCACAATTCCCATTTGTGAATTTGTCTTTCCGTATGGTTTATACTGATGAAAAAAAGTATAATTGCACGTTCTCAGAATACACAACAAATGGCATCATTTCAGTTTTTTTTGTACCTACATCAATGTTTTCTTACCGTTAAATGTAAAGCATTAAATAAAGTACGTTTTCTCAGTTTCTGTTGTATCATATATGGATGCCATTAATTATTAAGTAATTTCTAATGGAAATGGAAAGAACTCTGTTTCACACCCTTGCATAATTAGGTGCCTACCATAGCGAACTAAAACGCTTCACAAATTGTTTATAGCAAAAGTGATCATGTATCAATATCATCAGCTTTTTTGCAGAAGTGTAGTTCCTCCATTGCCAAGACATTCTAGAGTTTCTGGAGCAAGTCACAACAAATAGGTATATCTGGAAACTCCTTGCTTCCATTTCTCACCAGTTCCATATCTAGCTGCCATTGCTATGGGTATGCACAAATCAGCATGACTATCCAATTCAGAGGCCTGTGGGTGGGGGCATACACTAAACAAGATTTTCTTTCTGAGGTAGCTCTCATCACTGTAGCATCTAAATCACTGGAGTAAGCTGCACATAGGGTTATCTTTGGAAAAATATGTAAATATACTCGGATAGCTGGTGTAAGTTGGCCTAGGTCCCTCAAAGTCAGGAAGCTACACTGATTTACACAAGCTGAGGATATGGCTCAACATTTGTTCAACTGTGTTAGGGACATAAATGTCCACAACAATGATGAAAGTACCTGCTAAGTCACTAAGATTAATCGGAACCTGCCCTCACTGTCTGAGGGTTGGTTCATTCCTGCTAGTGCAGCCTGCAGGGTTTTTTCAGACCTAGATTTGGAGAGGTCACTAACACACAGCTCCCAGTAAATTTCCTATAGAGTAGTTTAGTTGTTAGGATCAAAACATCAGGCTACTAGTGACCCTTGCAAATTACTGAGAAGGTCCAACTAATAATATAACTCATAGTCTTACTTCCAAAAGTGTTGCATGAATTACTGTACAATGCCAGTGGCAGTTCATTATAAAATCTGATACTGCTGCTGACCTCTTCTTTGTTGAGTCAAAAGAGAGAGAGAGAGAGAAGATACTACCTTTCTCACAATAACTTCCTGTCCAGCCAAGTCCACAGGAACAAGATCCGTTCACAGGGTCACAGATACCACCATTCTTACAGATACACCTTAGCTGGCAGCTGGGGCCATAGCTTCCCTGGGGACACACTACAGCAAATTAAAGTTGTTAAAAAAAAATTAGCCTCAAAGAGGATGAATGCAAAAGAAGGAAACAATGAATGCAGAAAGTTCTCTTTACCGTACGTTACACATACTTGGTGTAACAGGGCACTTGGGCCTTTGGGTGTATGTGAACACCTCTGCCCTGTGCTGTGCCTACCCTCTTCTCCACTGCCCTGTCCCTCCCTTCACTTTTCTTTCCATTTAGCTTATCCCCTCCTAACTAACCATCCCCTTGCCCCAAAAGAATTATTGTAGAATGAACATGACATTTGCTGCCATTGCAGTCTTCAGTCTTGTGTGTTCACCCCATCCCCAACCTGGTGTCTGCCCATGTCTGTCTTGTCTATTTAGATAATACACTCTTTGGGGCAGGGACTGTCCATTACTCTCTACAGTGCCTAGAAAAATGGGGACCCTTTCTTGGTTGGTCCTTAGTCATGACATTAATAAACATGATTATTAGATGACATGCTGAGGGCAGTGCAACTTTGGGTTGCTTTGTGTTATTTTGAATATTTCTATGTTAATGCAGAGGAGCCTTGAGCAAAGAAACTGAAGCTGCACAGTTTGGAGCAGCTACAGACTCAGCCCACCAGCTTACACTGGGTTACATTTAAAACATCATTTTGCTCCAGAGAGATAAGGAAATGCAGCGATTGCTCACAGAATGAATTCCTAGGGGCATAAATAATGGCAATTTATTTACATCTGTGGGGCTGAGATATTTCTTTTTCTGACGGCTGCAAGTAAATGTCTAGATTGACAGGGTGCCCTTGGATCTCGTTCTGTTACCTTGCTGACAACTGGGTCCAATTTGGCCAGGTGGACAGTAGCACTTGCCAGTCACTGGGTCACACTGCCCTTTACCACAGGAGCACAACAGGATGCAGTCCTTCCCATAGCGGCTTACAGGACAAACTAGAGGAAACATGAACTTTTCTCATTAAACATGCCAGCTGTCCAGACCCTTGTTTCTTTTTGTAATCTAAGGCCCTTCCTTTTAATCAAGCAGACTCCTCTAAGCTGCATTCAGCTTGGTTTTGAATCTGAAGACATCAGTTTTACAAAAAGAAAAGTGTCCAAATATTTGCTTACATTTTTCCTCTGAAATTTTACTTGACATTAGGAATCTTCTACCAAACATTACTGTGAAAACAACGAAGCTTCCTAATGAAAGTGGAACCAAGCTTCACTAGAGTATTAAATGGTGGTCCCACTTTAAAGTGAAGATTTCCTCATTCCCATAACACTGATATTTCATTTATTGATCAGCAACAGTTCAGATTATCAAAAATACGGTGAAGTGTTAAGTTTTTTTGACACTTAAAAACTTTTGTAAAAAAAGTTATAGTGAACTGCAAAAAGTAATTGAAAAAGCTAACAAGGCAGTAATTTTTTATTAGCATTAGAGTCATAAATTATGAATGGTAAACTAGATTGCCACGGTTAGATGGGATTTACTGAAGACTTAATTACCTTCTAGTCACCCAGTTTTTATGAGGGTGCCAGTGCAAAACTTCAAGGGCCAGAATGTGGAGCTCTTTCTCATCCTCATGAGCATTTATTCACATGAGTAGGCTCACTGGCTTCAAACAAACTTTTCCTATAAGTGCTCATCCACATGAAGCCTGAGAAAATACAGGCGAAAAACCCCATCATCTGCACACCCCTAGTTGTTGTCTACCACCCCACACTGGAACTCATATGGGGTATCATTTATCAATTACAACCCACAGACATCTTTCCCCAACCCTCTCTTCTGGCCTTCAAATGACCCTCCAGTCTCACCAAGCTCATCATCAGAAGTAAGCTCTTCACAGACCAGGCCACACCAACTCAAAGTGGCACTAGATCCTGCCAGAAAAACAGATTCTAAACCTCCAAACATCTCCATTGCTACAGTGATAAATACCCTCCACAACCTTTCAAGATCCAGGGGTCCTACACATGCTTATCACAACATGTGGTGTACCTCATCCAGAACATCTAATGCCCCAGCAACAGCTATGTGGGTGAAATCAGACAATGACTACACTCTTGAATGAGCTCACACAGAATAATGATAAAAGACCAAAAAAATATATATATATATCCCTATCCTACATAGGTGAGTAGCTCAGTAAGCAGATTTGGGGCAAAAAAGGAGGAGTGTGACCTCCTCTCCCATTTTGATCTTGCTCATGAAGAGACTGGACACAGAGGCTGCAACCCTGGGTCAATCGTGCCTGCTTCACACTCTCATAAGGAAGAGAAAATGCATTGAAAGAGAATTTTTCACAAAGCTGGAATCTCGATTTGCTATTGAGTGAAGGGTTGGTCAGGATCTGCCTGTTGTTTATATACTAATAAACTACTGTTTATCTTCACTATTTTCAATTAATGCTTATTTTTCTCTCTTGTCAGTATATAGATTTAAATTACCCCTTTAATTTTTAATGAACTCTTACTTTTACTACAGTCAGCTCCAATGAAGCCAGGAGGACAATCACAGGTTCCTGTCATAGTATCACAGTGGCCTCCATTAACGCATTTACATGCCCTTTGGCAGTATGGACCATAGGTACCTTGTGGACATTCTGTTTTAAAACAGGAAAAAAAGCAATTAGGAAATACTACTTGTGTGACCCTACAGTTTCATAGCAAGATCACTTTGTTACCTTACACCTAAATTTTGTTTTCAACCTCTATTTCTAGTCTAATTATTTGTTCTTATAAAACCAATCCTAATTTGCAGGCTTTTTTTTTTTTAATTGAAGCAGCAGAAAGTCACTTTAACCTATGTTGGTTTTCTCCAAACTGCATTTTTCACTGTAACGTGAGCCGTAATCCTGGCCTGTGAATGGAAGACTGTGCAAGTGTTTCAGAGAAGAGGACATGGGGGATTTCCATAGACTCACGAGTTACACATACAAATGCAAAACTGGGAATTCTTTTTCTTAAAGGGAGACCTTGTCCTGTAATAACCCAAACAAAGTGGCGTTGGCTGGAGTACCAGTGCCATTCATATATGAGGATAAGCTGTCCATGAATAATTTGTCTGACGTAGATTTAAATAGGCTTTTCAGGTGGCATTGTATGCATGTGCCTTGCTTCAGATGTCTTCTTTTTGAAGAGCAGTTTATTATGGACAATGCTAGGCAGATATCCATTCTCTCCAAATTTGCATTTATCTAGATAGAGATTGACATTTCATGTTTCCTCATTTCCCTGATACATTCAATGGTAATGGACAAAGCCATTTCCCCAAAACACAGCTGGTTATTGTACGCTATTTCAAGGCTCCAGTGCTAGGGCCTGATTCTGATCTCATTTACCCCACTGTCAATCAGGAGGAACTCCCATGAAATTACATTCTTATAAAACAAGTGGGGGAGAATCAAGAATCAAATGTTTATTGATGCATCAGAGTATTAAATAGATTTTCCTAATGTTCAGGGCTGGATTAAGGCAACCCAGCGCTCTAGGCACACCATGACAATGGGGCCCCACGCTGGTCCCAATTCACCACTTGGAGAGAATCAGAGGAAGTGGCATGGGATCCCCTTTTCCTTGCCAGGTACAGTAGGTAGCCCCCACCCCCACACCTTGGGAGCTGCAGAGACAGCCATGTGATGCCCTCTGCCCATGGATAGAGTAGTAGCAGGAAGGGTGTATCACTTGGGTGGGAGGGCTGGGCCCGCTGCACTCTTCCCCCGCCATACCCATGGAGTTCTCTGCAGGGGTGGTGTTGGCAGGTCCCCTCAGAGCAGTGGGTCTTGGAGTTAATATCCCATTGTGATACATGGGGCAGTTTGCCCCTCTCAAAGCTGTTTCAGGCTGTCTGCAGGCTCAGGCATCAGATACACTCAGGTTACGTTTTCAAATTTTTCTCCGCAACTGTGACTTACTTAGGTGAAAGCTCAGATTCTGCTGTAATCGTACGATTCTAGGAGCTAAGCCCAGCTGCTAGCAACAGCCCTCTGGTGCTTGTACTTTAGACCAGTTCTGGAACTGTTGGCCTCTGGAGGTGCATAGTGTGTCCCCTTTTCCCTAGTGTATGGTAGCAATTTCTAGATCATCAGAAGCGTGAACGCCTTTCTATGTCAGCTGTGCTGAGGATGGCAGTACAGCCCTTTCTAAGGCAAACCATTTACCAAGACAATTCACACTGACACTCGTTGCTGGAAATGACATTCACTTTCTCCCACTCTAAAAAAGGAAAGCCTGTGGCCATACTGGAAATCCCCACCGGAGTATATATGTGGCCAATTTCTAGCCACGTGTCTCTTCATACTTTGTACTGTAGGAATTTATGGATGTTAATAATTCACTCTCTTTCTTCAGTGTATAAAATCATGATTTGTGTGGATGGAGAAGAAATCCTTGCCTCCTCTGAACTGATCTATACAGCACCTCAGAACAGCGAATGCAGTCGTTATGTCTTTTAAAAATAACATTGGCTGCTACCCACAGATACCAGATTAACTGTACTAAATGGACATATGTATTTACAGAATATAGATTCTCTTTTGTTCCATAGGTCCTTTTTACTCAGTACATCGCTTCCCCCTATCCACGGGAAGAGCAAATCTGAGAGTTAAATCAACATCTCTCCCTACAGGGGTATGATAACACAAACTCACCCACATACTGCAGATTTTACAGAATAAATTTTGCAACTTCATGTACACAGTGAAATGTAAATTCCTGCTGTCGGAGAGAGACCCCCTATAATGTTCTTTCAATATCCACTAAGAAACAGTGTCAAGGAGACATCTTCAGTATAATGATTTCATTTAGCCTCTTTTTCAGTGGCTTCCCTACTTCCGTTTGGTCTTTGTTTGGCTTTTTCCCTTTTTATTCTGCTTCACTCACCTAACTACTTTTTCTCCTCTCTGGCAGAGGTTTCAGAATTGTTTCTCAGTTCAGGCTGACAAGGTTTCTTCCATGACTGGACGTGGTTCCAGTAATATGTGTAATTCTTCCCTTCCCAATGTACTTATCCTTTTAACTTCTTATTTATTTCAGTTCAACAGGGAGCAACACAAGCCGTGAAAACACATCTGCTTCAACATTCAACATAATTATCAGCAAGTTGTTCTCATCTGTTACTACTTTCCAAGAGGCTTATATGCAGACAGCCAGGGCAATTTACACAGAATCCTGCCATTTAAGTAGGCTATGCATCCACAAAGAAGTTTAGTTTATAACCACCAGTTATCTAATAAAGACATTTTCTAATTTAACAGCTTCCTGTACATCAGAGTTATGCTTTTCTGAGAACTGCAAGAACAGCAGCCAGATTTCTAAATCATTTCCTGATCTCTTCCTTCTGTCTTGGGTTAGTTTTGCCATGATCTAAATTCCTTATTCTAATCCTAAATCCTGAGTTAATCCAGAATTCATGCTTCTAGATTCTTTTGTACCAACAGTATATACTCGGGCTTTCCTTACCAATATTAATTGCATCTTTTGGGGAAGTCTTCATTGCATCTGAGAGTTAGCATCCCAGCCCGAGTCCACTGACTTGTGCTAGCAGGCCTTGCACTAGCTGTGTAGACGTTGTGGGTCAGGCTGGAACTCAGGATCTCAAGCCTGGAGCTTGAAAGCTCAAGCGACAGCCCAAGCTATAACGACTACACAGCTACTTTTAGTGTGCTTGTGAGAGCCCCAGTGACACAACTCTGTGGACCCGAGCTGGGTGGCTCGTTTCCACATGCAATACAGACATACCCTTGAAGTGTCCCATTACCTACAGCTTTAAGGTTGATCATTAGTAGTTGGAGCTGATGAGGTTGGTCTTCCCAGCTGAAAGTTCACCAGGCTCAAATACATCTGTAAACAATGCAGAGTGGCAGTGTTTTTTTTCTATCCACTAGAGCCATTAGGTTTTTTTTTTCTAATTTTACCACACTCAGGCAGACTTGCCCATCCACAGAGTTATGGCTAACAGATGGGATTCGTATTGCTAGTTTACCTGCTTCCTCTGTACCTTGCCAAAAGACTATTTCAATTCTCTACTCCAAACTTGAGAACATGGAAGTCCAATTGCTCTTGGCTGCTGGAATCCCAGTTTCCCAGCCAGTTGCACCTTTTATGGATATTTTCTTGAACCTTTTTTCACAGTATTATAAGTACAGCCGTTGTTGCCAGAAACTGTTTCCAGCAGTATCCAACCACATGTTGACTGGACTAAGGCCAACTTGACTTCTTTGGGAGTGGCTTCCTACACTGCGCCCAGTTTCAATAGCATACTGAAAGCTTCTTCAGCATGGGATAGAACAGGCCTGATTCTCTTCTCAGCTACAGCAGTTTGAAGCAGGAGTATTTCTACCAAAGTAATGGTGCTATCCCAGTGCAAAGGTGGTATTAGATGAGAATCAGGCCCTCGATCTCTTGCAGCACAGATCCCCACAACGAAACACACACTAACTTTAAAATCATCTGGTTATACTCCGACAACTTGCCACTGATTGGTGAAAGCTACCGAGCAAGAGTATAAAACAGAAGCAAAATTTAGATGCAATACAATCATTTTTTCCATATGAATCCGTATATCCCAGTGATCCTCTTATTTCTCTAGGCAGAAAATTAAACAAAACAAAATCTATTCATTGAAAATCTGCTCTGTAAGATATTGTGCAACTTCAGTTCCTATGAGGGCACTCAGCACCAGAAAGGCACAAGCCTTATACACTTTGGATGAAGTCCTGGGCCTACTGAAGTCAATGCCAAAGATCTCATCAACTTCAGCGAGGCTAGGATTTTACCCTGTAACTTCTTCCTTTAAATCATGGCAATGGTGCAACTTTTACTGTCTTAATTTTCTTATTCCAAGGCTCAGTTCAGAGGTTCGTACTCAATTTTTACTCTGGGAAGCGCCACTGAAACGAATGGAAGTTTGCCTATGTTTGGCCCTTGTACATCTATAGAATGACTAATAAAAGCTAAGATACTATGATCTGGGGTATTATGCTATATATCAATATATTTAAAAAGACACAGTCAAGTAACTAAGGCCCATAATGTTACTTCATCTGAACATTTATTAATCTGGTGGGGGATGTACTTCAGATTTCAAGGGCCTGAGTCTGATCTCATTTACACTGGTCTAAATCAGAAGACAGTGGAGTTACACTGGTGTACCGCTGATGTAAATAGGGGGAGAATCAGACACTGCATTTCTATTTCTTTTTAAATACAACTCGTGATAACATTATGACAGTATGAGCTCCCCTAATCTGTTTCTACTCTAGTAGTGAAGCACAGTGTTTAACTGTTCCTGGACTTGCACACATGGCTGCTGACATCAGCACTGAAACTGCTGCCAAAAAGGGAAGCAAACCAAAAGGAGCCATTCAGGATTCCAAAGAAACAGAGAGAAAGGGGGGAAAAAGGTTTTCCAAAGAGAGAAAGACCTGAGCTTGAAGAGCGAAGATGCTTTATTTTCCTTTTTATAAGAGGACATTACACACCATGAAGAGTAAAAACAAAATTAAAGCTGTAACCAAAAAAGTGATTAACTGTCTCCTTTTTAGTCACTTCACTGCATGTTTCCTATCAGTCATCACATTCCTCCACAAGCTACTTTACTGTTGTCTAGAATATCAGTCTGAGACATGTGGGTCTGGGAATATATTTTTTTATGATGGAATGCTCAGCGAATTGGCATTTTGTCTTTTAAACTAGTCACCCTTTTCCAATCCATAACAATCTGTTTAATTTGATTGTTCCTCAGAAGACCGTGCAACTTAACTGACTTTATGAATCATTTTAGATATATTGCCAATTGCAGCCTGTTTTATAATAACCATTTGTCCTTAGTTTAGCACTCAGAGCTTTCGGGAAGCACTCTGGCTTCGATATTTTGAGAGGCGAGAGCTACACAATACACATGTGTTGCTGCAGGTTAGAGGTGGATGTGTATTCATGTCACATTTCACAGAAGGGTCTGGTGTAAAAATGATTTCAGAAAATTGTGAAACATTTGTCTCTAGAAAAAACTCCTGATCCCAGCAAAAAAAAGCCTTACAATAATTAAGGGCCAAATTTGACTCCTTTTACTCTCAGAGAGAAGGACTTTATACCTGGAGTAGACTCATTCCAGGCTGCAGGTATTACTAAATATGAATAGGTGTGTCAGAATCTGGCCCCAAAGAATTAGGCTTCCCGTCAACTACTTTTCAAAAAAATTGGAATGAAGCAAGAATTATACATACTAAGGTCACAGTGGATTCCATAATAACCCGGTAGGCAGGTACATTTGCCTGTCGCTGGGTGACATTCCTCATTTTCTGCAGAACACTGACACAGTTGGTTACAGTTCTTACCATATGTGCCTGCTGGACAAGCTGAGGGAAGAGGAAATGTAAACCAATGAATTAAATTTGTCTTGGTAAATATAGCACTCAAACAAAGAGCAGGCTAAAATTTATTAAATAAAACTACTGCCTACAGAAGTATGCTGCCCTCTGGGACTCTGGTTTTATTAAATTTACTTGGGGATTACTTTGCTGTTTGATTTTGTTTTGTGCAGTCAATTTATGCCCAACTGCCAAGGGCCAGCTGCAATTTTCTTGTCACTAAAGAAAATCATAGTGTGATGTCAGGTAAAATCGACTAAAATAATAGTATAACTCAAGAGGGACCACATGTATGGATAAAGACATTTTCCCTTGTGTAAATAGTTTAAACTTTCAAGGTTGCTTTAGCACAAACATTTGTACATGTTGCATTTTGTCACTTGTCAGCCATGCTGCCTACATTTTTCTGACTGTTTAGATCTAGGTTCTTATATTAGTGCGCACCACACCATCTGAGCACCTTCGTAGAAATATCAGGCCAAATTCTCAGGTGACATAAATTGGTACAGCAAAAGCAACTTGAATAAAGCTGTGGTGGTTGTTATAGTTATTTATCATTATTTTTATTACTTAGCACCTAGTGCCACTGATTGGGGTTAACAGCCCATTGTGTTACACACTGTACACACACACAAGAAACAGGCAGTCCCTGCCCCAAAAGCTTACAGTCTCACAGATCAGATAGGGATCGGATTAAAATTTCAATAATCAGATCTTTTTAATAGTAAAATTTATGCTCAGACAACAGGTTTCTGAAATTTTGCATTAAGGAAAAGCAAAATAGGAATCATAGAGCTTGGAGCACAAAATAAATCCAGTTTGTCTTTAAAGATAACCCCAGAATGGATGTGGTTCTTGCCACTGACAATAATAAATAATAATGATAATAAAAATACAATTTTCTGGTGCTCCGGCAGCCAAGAACAGAAGCTGTTCTCCCAAAGAACACCAATGGACGGCAGAGGTGGAAATACTGCCTGCCCTCTGGAGGGACAGAATCCTCAGGTGGACTGGACACTTCCCTGGGCCAGCTTTGTTGAATTTTGTCCCCCTGCTTGCTCTTGCAATCTGCAAGCAGAAAAATCTATATTCAGCTTTCAAGCTGTAGTCCACTTTTATTAATGCAATGTTCTAGCAGTCCTTACTCCTTCAGAGGTTGATTAAATCAGCTGTTCAATTATTTAATAAATGAATCAATCCCCTGTAGATTTTTTTCAAGGGGCAATTAGTCACATACTTGTATAACAACTTACTTTTTTCACAGCCATAGCCAGTGAATCCTTGAGGGCAGCCACACTCTCCATTCACATGGTGACAAGGGGTACCTGAAGGGCAGTTGCAACGTTTGGTGCAGTAATTGCCATAGTAGCCAGGCAAGCAGGCTGGAATAACCAAACCAGTTTTCATTAGAACAGGTTGCAGAAGGGCTTAGAAGAACCTAAAGACCAAGTTCAGCCCCTGACTGCAAGGGAAGCCGATTATTTCATGCTTTAGCCAGCAAATATATATGAAGAATACTGGTGCTTCCAAGAAGACTACCTCCCCCATTAATAAATTAATGACCATTTATTTCTGTTGTTCAAATGTTACATTAGTTCCAGAGGCAGGAGATGAATTCCAACTCACAATCAGTGAGATCCTGGCCCTTTGAAATCAATGACAAGAACCCCATTGACTTCAAGGGGGCCAGGATTTCACCCATGATCTTTCCCTTTAATGTAAACCTCCTTATGCTGCACAGAAGAAAACTTCATGTGACACTGTCATCAAGAACTACAAGTAAAAATATAAAGTCACCATGTCGGATCTTAATTATACTTTGAATACTTCTTGCTTTTGCAAGATAAAAATCTTGGGTTTTACAGCACCTCTGGGGACACTAGAGAAATTTTTCAATGTGACATTTAAAAATTTATTTTATTTTAATGAAAAACTGCATGTGTCATGAAAGGTACAGGTCTGAAAGGACTAGAGACTGACAGCAATTGACATGAAAGAAATTGAAGGGACACAACGTTGATCATCATCATGAGGACAATCTGCTAATGGGCAACTCCAGTTTGACCAGTGGAGAAGAAGAAAACTACCACAGCCTACCAAAAAGTACTTCTTAAGGCTTAATTCTGTGAAATGCTGAGTTCCCTCATTGATTTCAGTGGGATCATGCCAGGGCTTAATGATACTATTGCAGGATCAGGGCCTTAATGGAGCAGACACAGTACTCTGTAGATGTCTCGGTTTTACTCTCAGCAGAAACTCACGTTTGTCGCATCGTTTTCCTCGCCATCCTTTTTCACAGTGACACACTCCACTCTGATGGTGGCAGGAAGAGCTGTGTTCACAGTCACACCGTTCCTCACACTGCTGCCCAAAGTATCCAGATGGACAGGCTGAGAGGAAAATTAGATAAGCAGAATAATGGTTCCTTCTGGTCTACAGAAAGCTGATGTGAAAGCCATCAGCCACTGACAAATAAGCTAATATTTATCTTCTGGGAGAGTTTGGGATGATGAATAGATGATACAAGCACTGAATTTATAATCTGATGAGAGTATATTTAGCATATTTAAAATTGTTATACTCAGTCCTGAATGCTAATGACTATGCACAGGAAAGTTTGCAAAGTGGCAGTAACCTGGAATCCTAAAGATCACAATGGATTGTATAGTGATGGCAATACAATACACACTGAACAACAACATACTGTGTTAATAATGATAGTAAATTGTGCCTAGACAATACTTATCATCTCAAAGGACTTTACAAGGTTACTAATGGGAAACTGAGGCCTGAGGAAGTGAAAGGCCAGTATTTCAAAGATTCCTATGACTTTCACTGACAAATGAAACTTGTGGATTCTCAGCACGGGTAGAAAAAACAGTCCACTTGTGACTTTGCCAAGATCAGACAGCAAGTCAGTGGCACAACTTGAAACAGATCCCAAGTTTCTGGACACTTAGTCCTAAATTATGTTTTTCTAAGGTACTTATATGCCCCACATTATTATAGTATCTGAGCACCTCACAGGCTTTAATATATTTTTCCTCATATCACCCCTGTGAGATAGGGAAGTGTCCCATTTTTCTTTTGAGCAGAGAGATTAAGTGACTTGCCTAAGGTCATACAGGGAATCTGTGGCAGGACAGGGAATTGAATTCAGGTCTCCCAATCCTAAGCTAGCACCTTAACCACTGCACCATTCTTCCTTTCTAGCCACTAGCTATCTCTAGTGCTCTTCAGAATGAAAAGTATTAAGATCAAATTGAAGGACAGAAAGTGACTCAATGTCCTGGAGGGAGAAAGAGCTAAAGTTCCAGATGAAGGAGTCAATGCAAGTGAGAGAGAGACCCTTGGGAGTTGAAATGGGCAGCCACAGCTATAGAATGATTAATAAAAATACAGGAAACATTAATTAATAAGATGCTTTTTATAGAGTCGAAATTTACAATCAGTCAAATCAAAGAAATTAGCCTTCCTACCAACATTGCACTGGTCCCCAATCCATCCTGGATGGCAGTTGCATTTCCCTGAATGTCGGTCACAAATTCCACCATTGCCACAGCTACAGTTCTGCTCACAGCTCTCTCCATACTTCCCATCCTCACACTCTGAAATCAATCAGGGCAGAATTTTATCAGAATCATAAGTGAATGAAAGGTCCAGTCAAAGCAAATGGAGAACATGATGGAACTCACCAAGTTCACAGGCTATTCCAGTCCAGCCTTTGGGACAAATGCATTGTCCAGTTACCTGATCACATACAGCCTGATTGCGACACATGCAGTGCTGTAAACAGTTCATGCCATATAAACCAGAAGGACAAGCTGTAAACAAAATTTAACATAAGAATGGCCATACTGGGTCAGACCAAAAGTCCATCTAGCCCAGTATCCTCTCTTCCGACAGTGGCCAATGCCATGTGCCCCCGAGGGAATGAACAGAACAGGTAATCATCAAGTGATCCATTCTCTGACTCCCACTCCCAGCTTCTGGCAAACAGAGGCTAGGGATACCTGCGCATCCTAGCTAATAAACCGTTGATGGACCTATCCTCCACGAATTTATCCAGTTCTTTTTTGAACCCTGTTATAATCTTGGCCTTCAAAACATCCTCTGGCAAAGAGTTTCACAGGTTGAGTATGCATTGTGTGAAGAAATACTTCCTTTTGTTTGTTTTAAACCTGCTGCCTATTAATTTCATTTGGTGACCTTAGTTCTTATGTTATGAGGAGTAAATACACTTCCTTATTTACTTTCTCCACATCAGTTATGATTTTATAGACCTCAATCCTATTCCCCCCCTTAGTCATCTCTTTTCCAAGCTGAAAAGTTCCAGTCTTATTAATCTCTCCTCATACAGAAGCCGTTCCATACCCCTAATAATTTTTGTTGCCCTTTTCTGAACCTTTTCAAATTCCAATATATCTTTTTTGAGATGGGACGACCACATCTGGACACAGAATTCAAGATGTGGGTGTACTATGGATTATATAGAGGCAGTATGATATTTTCTGTCTTACTATCTATCCCTTTCTTAATGATTCCAACATTCTGTTTGCTTTTTTGACTGCCACTGCACATTGAGTGGATATTTTCAGAGAACTATCCACAATGACTCCAAGATCTCTTTCTTAAGTGGTAATAGCTAATTTAGACCCCATCATTTTATATGTATAGTTGGAATTATGTTTTCCACTGTGCATTACTTTGCATTTATCAACATTGAATTTCATCTGCCATTCAGTCACCCAGTTTTGAGAGATCCTTTTGTAGCTCTTTGCAGTCTGCTTGGGACTTAACTATCTTGAGTAGTTTTGTATCATCTGCAAATTTTGCCACCTCACTGTTTACCCCTTTTTCCAGATCATTTATGAATATGTTGAATAGGACTGGTCCCAATACAGACCCCTGGGGGATACCATTATTTACCTTTCTCCATTCTGAACGCTGGCCATTTATTCCTACCCTTTGTTTCCTATCTTTTAACCAGTCACCAACCCATGAGAGGACCTTCCCTCTTATCTCCTGGCAGCTTACTTTGCTTAAGAGCCTTTGGTGAGGGACCCTGTCAAAGGCTTTCTGAAAATCTAAATACACTATATCTACTGGATTCCCTTTGTCCACAGGCTTGTTGACCCCCTCAAAGAATTCTAGCAGATTGGTGAGGCATGATTACCCATTACAAAAACTATGTTGACTCTTCCTTAACAAATTATGTTCATCGATGTGTCTGACAATTTTGTTCTTTACTATAGTTTCAACCAGTTTGCCCGGTACTGAAGTCAGGCTTACCAGCCTGTAACTGCCAGGATCACCTCTGGAGCCCTTTTTAAAAATTGGTGTCACATTAGCTATCCTCCAATCATTTGGTACAGAAGCTGATTTAAATGATAGGTTACAGACTACAGTTAGTAGTTCTACAATTTCACATTTGAGTTCCTTCAGAACTATTGAGTGAATACCATCTGGTCCTGGTGAGTTATTACTGTTTAGTTTATCAATTTGTTCCGAATCCTCCTCTAATGATACCTCAATCTGGGACTGTTCTTCAGATTTATCACTTAAAAAGAATGGCTCAGGTTTGTGAATCTCACTCACATCCTCAGCCATGGAGACCGATGCAAAAAATTCATTTAGTTTCTCCACAATGGCCTTACCATCCTTGAGTGCTCCTTTAGCATCTCGATCGTCCAGAAGCCCCACTGATTGTTCAGCAGGCTTCCTGCTTCTGATGTACTTAATGTTTTTTTGCTATTACTTTTTAAGTATTTGGCTAGCTGTTCTTCAAATTCTTTTTTGGCCTTCCTAATTATATTTTTACACTTCATTTGCCAGAGTTTATGCTTCTTTCTATTTTCCTCACTAGGATTTAACTTTCACTTTTTAAAACATGCCTTTTTGCCTCTCACTGCTTCTTTTACTTTGTTGTTTAGCCACAGTGTCTCTTTTTTGGTTCTCTTACTATGTTTTTTAATTTGAGTTGAGCCTCTATTATGGCATCTTAAAAAAGTTTCCATGCAGCTTGTTAATTAACCTCCTCATTTTTGTGTAGGTCCCTTTTCTGAAATTTAATGCTACAGTGTTGGGCTGCTGTGGTGTTTTCCCCGCCACAGGGATGTTCAATTAAATTGTATTATGGTCACTATTACCAAGCGGTCCAGCTATATTCACCTCTTGGACCAGATACTGTGCTCCACTTAGGACTAAATCAAGAATTGTCTCTCCTCTTATGGGTTCCAGAACTAGCTCCAGAACTAGCACTCCCACACCAGCACGACCTGTTTTGTATTTTTGTACCCTGGTATTACTGTGTCCCATTGATTATCCTCATTCCACCAAGTTTTTGTTATGGCTATTATATCAATATCTTCATTTAATACGAGGCACTCTAGTTCACCCATCTTATTATTTAGACTTCTAGCATTGGTGTATAAGCACTTTAAAAACTTGTCACTTTTTAGCTGTCTGCCATTACATGATGTAATTGAATGGGACTTTTTTTTCTTTTGACTGTTTCTCATCAAATCCTACATTTATTTTATTATCTTCCATCCTCTCCTCCTTACCAGGACATAGAGAACCTCCATTAATAGATCCTCCCCTAAGGGATGTCTCTGTTCAAACCACATGCTCCTCTGCACCTGTCGGCTTTCCCCCTGCCCTTAGTTTAAAAACTGCTCTATGACCTTTTTAATTTTAAGTGCCAGTAATCTAGTTCCATTTTGGTTTAGGTGGAGCCCATCCTTCCTGTATAGGCTCCCCCTTTTCCAAAGGTTTCCCCAGTTCTTAATAAATCTAAACCCTTCCTCCCTATACCACCATTGTCTCATCAATGCATTGAGACCCTGCAGTTCTGCCTGACTAACTGGAACTGGAAGCATTTCAGAGAATGCTACCATGGAGGTCCTGGACTTCAATCTCTTATCTGGCAGCCTAAATTTGGCCTCCAGGACCTCCCTTCTATCCTTCCCTATGTCATTGGTACCTACATGTACCACGACCACCGGCTCCTCCCCAGCATTACACATAAGTCTATCTAGATGTCTCAAGAGATCCGCCACCTTCGCAGCAGGCAGGCAAGTCATCGCAAACCCAGCTATCTATGCTTCTAATGATCAAATCACCCATTACTAATACCTGTCTCTTCCTAATAACTGGAATTCCCTCCCCCGGAGAGGTATCCTCAGTGCTAGAGGATACCACATCATCATCTTGAAGGAGGGTCCCAACTATGGGATCATTTCCCTCTGCTCCAGTTGGATGTCCTCCTTCCCTGAGACTTTCATCCTCCTCAACAGCAGAAAACTCTTATTAAAAATGCACACAAACTACAAGAATAAGAAGCCATGTCTATATGGACTATATCTGTGCAGAAATTTTACTAATGTTGACAGTTATAATACCCTATATTCCTTCCCCCTACAATGTATACGGTAAATGTCAATTCAATTAGGAATTTTGTGCAACATTCAGAATACAAAACAGCTAACAAACTAAAGCAAGGAAACTATTTACGGTACAGGAAAGCAATGCATTCGAAGTAGGATAGTGCAAGTTAAATACATAGAACTTAACTCTACCTTGTCTTGCACCAATCTGACTGATTGTGCAAGTGATGTAAATCAGGTTTGGATCTGACCTACAGAGCCTGACTCCACTCTGATTTACACTGGAGTAAATCAGGAGTAACTCTGTTGCAACCAATAGAATTACATTAATGTAAAACTGGTTGGGAGCAGAATCAGACCCCTTCAGAACATAGTGGACAGCAATAGCTGACATTTAGTAATAGCTGAAGTTTATTAATATAGTGTCTTAGCCACAGGCCACTTTGAGGACAGCAATCAAAGGGTTTACACAATGAAATTTGTTTAGTGATAAGTGAAGAAAGTGCTTAATTGTATCCCAAAACAATGATCTCTAGTCTTTCCCATCCTCACCTATGATAGCAAGAGCTTGATTCTTCACAGCTTTCTCAACAAATAGGCTATGTACTGGTTCCACTTTTTAATGGTTAACTTTGTACGATACACAATTTTATAATTATTACATCTTTCTATCCACAGCAGGCTGATGATATTTTATAGCTTGCCTATTTTTAATTTAAAGAAATTCAAATAATGAATTCCCCACTATGGGTACTGGAACTAGAACTTGGGAACTTTAGCTCAAAGGGCAGAGGCTTGTACTTTAAGTGCTAAAGTGATAACTCCATAAATTGCTAGCAGTAGTAGGTTCTAGGCCACCAAATGGAACAGTCACTAGAGGAGGACACATACCCAACATTCCCTTTCCTCCCCCCCTCGCCTCTCCTGATGATCAAATTATCAGAGAAACCAAACACACAGAAGAATCCACAATGCACCATAATAGAAAGGAACTGTTTGTGTCTGAAAATATGTAGTTTGATTTAGGGTCCTTCTGACTGAAAAAGTGGTTGATTTACAGTTAATTAAAACAAAACAAAATCAACCAAAAACCCTCTACTATTTGAAGCTATTTCCTTAAGAGAAACTTCACATTTCAGCCAATACTGTACCCATCAGTATAAGGGGAAGACTTGTGTGTCTATACTCCCCTCCCCCATGGAAATCATAAGCATGTGGAAAGTCCTTTTGTCCTTAGATTTTAAAAGGGGCTTTCAGACTTCCCTAAAATACAAATAGCTACCATTTTACTGCAGATTTGTTCAATTAGCAATTCCAAAGTGACTGGCGAAGCTCCCAGTGATGACATTCAATCCTAGATTTAGCTTATGGTGTATAGAGCAACCACAAACTAGCGATTTGTAGGAGGATAACTGCTACATTGGGATGAGAGCACAGGGCTACATTGCTGGTTCTGGATCACTTATCTAGACAATCCAAACCTTCTGTTTTTAAATTGAAATAGGTCCAAAGGGGGTAAAGTGGATAAATATTTGATGTTGCCTGGATTATTTTTTATTTCATTTTAATTTTCAAAGATGGCAGGTTTTCTGTCTTACTACATTCTGGGACATTTTATCCCTCTTAGTCAAATCAGCTATTCTCTGGAACTCTCTACTGTACCCCTTCACTTTGTACTCCTGGGGGTTTCAGCTTCTACTGTTTTGTGCTTGTATGGTACCTTAGACAATGGGGTCCCGGTCCAGGCCTAAGTACTATGATAATATAAATAATAAATAAAAATACTGTATAATAATTTATGTGCGGACTTCTCCTAGCTGCCCACACACTTAATAAATATTAGTAGATATAGGACACCCTGAACTTAAAATGGTTCTGTCCCTCAATTAGAACATTATTTTTTATAGACTGTGTGGCCCATTTGTACATATGTTTAATTAACATACAGTAAAGCCTGTACCAAAGACCACCCTTATTCAGCAATCACCTGTATGTATTGCTGTAAGCATAAATCAATTTCTAAAAGACCAATATCTGTCTGTCCCTTTGCTTAAGGTAGGTTACACTGAATACCTATACTGGAAATTAACTTTAAGATATTCTGCAAAAAACATACAGAACTTCCACAAATAGAGTTTGTGTGGCTAAGTCCATTACCAACTGGGCAGACATCAGCCAGTGGGTTGTGATAATATTTCTATTATCTTCTTTTGATTAAAAGCCATTTGATAAAGCAATGTACAAAGCCGGCAATTGAAATACTAATGAAAATCCCTAAGTAAGAAGTTTTGTTTTCCCCTTCTGTCATCTTCTTGCAACAGAAGTTAAGTTCTCACTGCACCTTGCTGGCAGGTAGCTCCTCTCCATCCTGCTGCGCAAATACACATCCCAGTTACATGATCACAGCGCGCTCCATTGTGACAATTACAAGCATGACTGCAGCCTTCCCCGTAACTGTCACCCTGGCAGGCTGCAAAGAGAGTACCATAAAATGCAATTACAACACATCAAAGGAGGCATCATACAGAGCAAAATTCAGACATAACCCAATTCAAGAGAAATCAGTAAGAAATTGGCTTCTCATGAAACACTGTTCATATCATACCGATACATAAGTTCATATATTAATCAGGCCTGACACTAAATAATGTGGGCTTAAAGATACATATCAACGCATTCTGAACAGATTTTTATCAAAGACTCAAATCACTTGGGTGATATATCACCTGTCATTCTCCTGTACCTTGGAATGTCTTTGTCTTAAACTAATGGTCCAGCAGAACAGGCAGCTTGACAGGTTGGTTATTTATTTGCAGCCTGGTAAGAGAACTGACAACTTCATTGTTTTCATTGTTCATTTTTCACAGTTCGATGCTTTAGCTCACCCGAAGCCTTATTCTTTGGTAAGAAAGCAGTGATATTTCCATCACATTGGGTAAGCAGCTGGCTCCCAGGTGAAAACTTAACCCTGTATCTCACAAGTTTATCCATGCTTCAGCTCCATTTTGTTCTCTACTGGTGTTGCCTCCCATGGACAAAATGGCATTACAAGATTTCTGCTGTCTTCATTGTCATGGCTCTGTCTTTAAATGGCAGTAAATGGAGTATACTGTCACTTTGCTTTCTAGAGTATCACTTAAGGTAGTTAAGGAAGAAAAGCAGGACTGTCCTTATAGATAGCCAAGATAAAAGAATAAGATACTTGTTGTCTTGGTCTTAATGGAGGCTTTAATTCTACTGTGTCACACTTGTTTTCCCACAGATAATAAACATCATCGGCATTCTTCCCAAGAGCAAATAAACGGGTCTGATCCTGTGAAATGCCATGTGTCCTTTGCTCCCATTAACTTTGGCACATAGCACCTCATGGGACTGGGCCCACACTTTGACCTTTCATCAAAATCCCTAGCCCTTTTGGGGAGCAAGATGTAGTATTGCATGAAGGACTCATCCATGAGAGATAGAACAGAAGAATGGAATTTTCCCCACTTCAATTGTGAATGTGGTTGACAGCATTTGGCCTATTCATAACCTGTAGCTTCTTGTCTGGGCTTTTCAGTGTCCCAGTGTGATTTACATGGATGACATTTCACTTGTAGCACCTTTTCAACATATTTTTTTTAAAATCAGTTAGGTCCCATCTGTATCACTACTGTAGTCAAGCCCAGGGACCTGGTTATAATGTTGTTAAACTCTATATTGTGGATGGGGCCTATCTGCATCACCAAATTAAAGACTCAGACCATCTGAATGAGCTTTACCTTGATTATGGAGACAGATTTAAATTGTGGCCACAATACAAATCAGAATTATGCTGTAAAAGGGTGTTACTAAGTCCCCGATTTAGCGTAGATTAACCCTGAGAGTGTATCTCACCAGAAGTTTACATCACGTGCATACAAATCTCTTGTTATGCCTACTAGGAGACAGATGGGATTTATCAGTGAATTAGAAATTCCAAAACAAAAGCAGGAACTCTTGGTGAGGAAAATTAAACATTCTTGTCTCTTGTTAGGAGTATACAAGCCTTCTTGGTTCATCTTTGGGGCATACTGCTTAGCAGGGGATTTACAATGTTAGAAGACTGAAACAGCAAGTGAAATTATCAAGCTATGTTTGCAGGTTTCTCTACTGATGGAGCAGAGTGAATTGAATTCTTCTTCCTCTTTTTTTGATGAGGAGTGTAAAGATACTAGTTTATAAACTACATTATGTGGCTAGGTAAAAAATCAATTAAAATCCCATGATGCCAGAATTATTTTTCAGCATCCTTCTGCACCTCTCATTACTTGAAAACAAATGCTGCTCCCCCAGCTGTGAGCGCTAGCAGATTCCAGGAAATGCCAGCACAAATACGCAACACAGAACAAAGGCAAAGAGGCATGTGTGAATGCCCCCAGCAAAGCAGGGGTCAGAGTACTCTCTGCAAGGCTTGAATTATACTGTTTGGAGCAGTAGGACAAACAGTACAATGGATCCAAATCTTAAAACGGTTTCTTCCTCTTCGATAGGTGCCATTGTTTTAAAAGATTTACAGGTGGACAATATCTCACCCGTACCTGGGGGTAGAATGGAGCTGGCTGCACACCCAGTGCAAAAGCCAGCTTGTAGATCCAGAGCAGGATAGCTTAACAATTTGCTTATTGCTCCTCTGGCCCGAAGCACTGTGTAGTGTTTGCTGTTGATGGCAGCATGTGCACTAGAGCTGATTGGACGTGCCTAGCTAACCATCCCACATCCTTTGTGGAAGCTGTGCAGGTGCACTCACCAGACATGCACTCAAAGTGTCCTGGCCTGTAGGAGGGATCTTGCCATTCTGCTTGTGCAGAGCTGTGTGGGGCAGAAGCTTCCCAGGCTTTTCCCCCTACCACACTGTGTATGGGCAGAAGGCAGGATTAATCAATGCTTGAGTTACCGATATTAGCAACTTCTAGAGCTACCGGAAAGGTCCCTCAGTTGAATCAGCCACTTCATTCCTCAGGGAACTTGGCATCTTAAGTTAAACTTCTGGAAATAAGTGAACTTTAGTCATGATCAATGCTGGTAAATGTTGCTAGTGTTTGACACAAAGCAAGCACAGATTTCAAACTGACTTGCAGGCCACTACTCTTGGCAGAGAGAAAGAACAAGTCAAACTCATTTATTTAACCTTCCTTGTTTACATGTTCTCTTCAGATAGGTTGCATCCTGTCTTGTCAATAATTCTGAAAGCTTTCTCATCTGCACACTGGGACTTCCCAAGGCCAGCAGCTCTTAATACTGCTAAGTCTTAGATCAACTCTATTTCTGTCTTAGTTAGGTTCCTCCAAACTTTAGCCCTCTTCCCCATTACCAAAGCTCTCAACAGCAGCCCTGATATAAATATAATCACATCTGTGGTTAGATGATCTGGAAAAATGCACTGTTTATTATTATTGTTATTATTATTAGCAACCTTTGGCCAAACCTGCAAAGTCATCCACACAGTACACGGCATTACCTGATGATGATACATTGTTTAGCTAAGAAAGAAACAGGTCACCCCTTTGCATTGTTATTTGACCTTACTCTTTTGCAGGCAAAAGGAGTCTTAAAGCCTTTGGTGTCTTAACTAGCACAAGGGATAAATCAAGGGCAGCATAAAGCTTTAATGGTTCCAGTGCAAGAGAATAAATGGTTGCTTTCTTACGTAATCCCAGTAGACTTTGCTACGAAGATGAAGGGGGACATGTGAGGCCTATGACAAAGGGCCTCATTTCTTAATTGAATTTAATAAAATATGTAGGAACAAAGCTTCCCATTTTTAATACAGTTTACAGAGCAGTCAAGAGCGAAGCTGACGGATTGTTAACTTTGTGGATCTTTTGAAGGGCAGTGTACATGGACTGCAACCAAGAAACAAGCAACACACCCACTCACCAACACCTCTGCTCCCAAACAGCACAAACATATTTCAATGGCACTATATTTCACAAAGTCTGTTGATTAACCTATAAACAGGGTAGCAAGAGAGATTACCATTGACATGAAGAATTTTAATACATTAAACTGAAGATGGAATAGCTGGTCCAGGTGTTTGTAGGAGGAAAAGTAACTGGGTGCAGGCACTGACGGATTGTTTGGAAAGTAGGTGGGAGGACAGCAGAAAGGTTCAACAACATTGTCCCTGAAGTCAGGGGACTTGTCCAAACAGGGATGGGGGAGGTTGTGGGAGAGGATCTTTAGATAGAAGGGAGGATGTGTGAGCTTGTGTGTACAGAGGGAATTGAAGGAAAGAGGTGGAATATGGTAAGGTAGGTAGAGGTAGCAAGAGTGTTTGGTTGTTGCATGTCCCATGACAGCAGGCCACTGTGGGGGTTGAGCTGGAATAGGGGTAGTCAAATCAGGGTGCATGTCTGGAAAGGTTGCAGTCAGGTTTGGTCATTAAGGTGGTTGGAGTTTGCAGGAGGGTGACAAAATGGAGGTGTTTGTCAAATAAGTGTATTAAATAAACTATAAACTTCTAGCTGAGAGAATCATGACATTTGTGGGTCAAAGGACCCCTGTACAGGCCTCCACAAACAATAAGAATCGATTTATTGTGCGATGCTGCTATGGATGAGTATAAATTGTTCTGAGCTCCACAGTGCTGTCTGCAGAGGATGATTATACTGTACTTTCAGGGTGAAATCCTGGCTCAGTTGAAGTCACTGGGGTCAGGATTCATCCTCAGTGTTTGAAGGATTAAAGCTTAAATAAAAAATTAATTTGGAAAAGAAAACACCATCACTGATTTTTTCAAACAACAAGGCTCAGTGATGCCTGCAAATGATGCTATGAAGATAAGGAAAAGAATGACTTTCCATCAGATTTGCTGGCAGATTTATTAGAGGATCCAGCAATAATGTCTATTCAAAACAGAAACAAAGCAACCACCACAGAAGCTACATTGTTAAGTGGGACAGTTTATTCTTGTTTGTGAAATTCCAGGAACTTACCTTTTTTGCAAATGACATTTCTAAAAATTAATGATAAAACCCCCTCCCCTACCCCCCCAGCAACCCTCCACCTTAATAGCAAAACAATCCCTGCTTTGATTTTTTTCCACAGTGTACTTTTGTAATCTTATAATTGGCAATTTGATAAGACTCAGCAGAAACATGGGAGTAACATTTTGCCGTTTAACACTTAATAGAAATGAAAAGTTCGGTTAACATATTACAGGACACAACTGTGCTATCTAAAAACAAATGGGACGTACTGTGAAACACTTACAATGTTTGATGTATTGCAATGGCAGTAAAAGGAAATAACAGAATATTTGCATGCCAACCAAAAAAATTGTTTCCATTTATGGCATCTCTGGAAAGAAGTATGACTTATCTATCTAACTTACTAGGTTCTTCTAGGCCTAATAAGGAGCAATTTTTAGAGTTAGGAAGATGGACTTTTGTGAGCTTTGCCACAGCTTTGCTGGGATCATTGCTGTTATACGTACGTTGGTCACACTTGGCTCCCACCCAGCCAGGGAGGCACTGGCATGTTCCTATGATGTGGTCACAGTGAGCTGCATTCTTGCATTCACACACCTGGTGGCAGTCAACTCCAAAAAATCCATCTGGACAAGCTAAAAACGGAAAAAAGGTGGGTTGTATAAAAAGCAGTTCCCATTTCTTTACACAACTGTCTGGCAAACAGCAAACTCCAGCTCTTGCCTTCTGGAAATTCTGTACATGGGAAAACTTTTAGTTGGTGCCCTTTTTAGTTATACTGTCAATTTGAAATTATACTTGGGAGCCTGTGTCCCATTAAAGGTTAAAACTGAAAAGCAGTGCATGGGCAAATCCACACACGAGTCCCATTATTGTGCATGTCCTACAATTTGAGGTGTATGGACCCTGATTAGTATTTTGCATATATTATACTGTTGTACAGATTACGACATAGGGAAATGCAGCTGAGCCTATAATCCAAACCCACAAGACTAGAGAGTTAATGAATGTGAATTCACATAAACCAGTTGTTATGTTATTAAAAGGAGCTGTGAAGAAAAAGGTGAATAGACTAAAAAGAGGAAAGACTTCCCAGTTCTATGTGAGATACATGTGGAGATAAGGTGGATCTCAAGAGGTCAGGCAATTCTGTATAACACAAAGTCTAGAAGACCATCCTTGTCCCATCTCCTTATCTTTAGACTTGGGGACATATGATCCAGTTGACTGTCCTGCCATATTTCTAAGGAGTTTTACAAAACAAATATAAGATATATTATTGTAGTTCAGTGTTTACAGGAAAAACTTGCTAGAAGAGGCAGATAATTCACATTGGCAAAGAACATGAAGAGCAACTAAATGTGGCAGGGCCTCTTCAGGGCACCACAGAGATTCAATAAATACACTTGCAGAGTGTGAGAAAGATTAGACCTGCTAATTCAGGCTATGTATGCACCAATAAGGAACACTTGGCATACTGAGAATAAACTGTCAACAATTGTTGCTAAGGTTGCATAGTCAAACTCTCAAAAGTTAGGAAGCGACAGAATTAAGGCTGCCTGTCCAACCTTAATTCAGCCCCCTCGTGCATCTGCATTATAATGAAGTTTTAATTATATGAATATGTCCAATTTTTCCACAGGACCCCTCCCTCATTCAGTATACTGGATGGACACTGAATGAGTAGCTATGCAATATTTTGTTTTATCCACATTGCTCAGTGTGTGGCATTAGGCTTTACTTACTGCACACCATTTAAACCCTACAGAATTATTAATTTCCTCATGAGCTTTTCTATGATGCCTATCACTATAATGTCTGAGTGCTTAACAAACATTAATGAATCAAATTTGACAGCACCCCTATATTGGTGGACACTTTTTATCTTAACCTCTGTGCCTCGGTTCCCCATCGGTAAAATGAGATTTTGTGTGTACAAAAGTTGTGTGTGTACAATTTTCTATTTTTTTAAAAAAAGAAACCACCCAATGCACAAACAAATCCCCCCACAGGAATTCCATCATGTGGAATCATACTAACATCTGCATGGATCATCAACATGGTTGGAACCTTTAGATCTACAGCATAGACTTCTGCCACATGAGCTAACTGAGTAACTGATAGCAATAAGAGATTGTTATCTTCTGTCTGGAGCAGTCACTGGAGGGAGATGAGACACACTTCGCCAGTGGGTTTCAAAGATGGCAACAGAGGAATGTTGAGACTCAGGAATCTTGTGTTCCATTCCAGGTTCTGGAGGGATGCGTTCTCTAGTGGACAGAGACCTTCTGACCCCGTCTTAGTCCTGTCTCTTCCCCACCACCTCCCATCCATGTACGGCTGGTTCCTTGTTCCAGTGTTCTTGTCTCACTAGCCCCAGTCCTCAATATCCTGCTGGCCTTCTCATTGCAGTCCCAGTCTCTTTGCCCCATCAGTCCCAGTTTCACATGCTCTGCCCCCTACCTCCTATTCCTCCACCTGCCAGCCCCTCCATTTCTCACCATTAGGCTTGATGTAATGGTGAGAAATCTAATTCTTCCATTGCTGTTGCAACTGAAAATGGGGTCTTGTAAAAGAGTGTTGCTACCTACCCTGCCTATAATACAGTGAAATCCAGTACAATATCTGTAGACAACAGTGGACTAAAATAGAAAGTGAATGTAAGTTCTCTGCTGACAAAAGGTAGTAGTGGTGGTGTAACCCACACACCTGCTGGGGGTGGTGTTCTGTCCCATTGAGTGGCACCAACACCACTTAGAGAGAGAGAGTAACGAGTTTGCTCTACATCCTCAGCTAAAAGGCAGTTGGTTTTTAGCTCATATAATACAGGCTCATGCACTGGGCCTCAGGTTTGATCCCGCCTGCCAACCACCAGGATCTGTTGGTGTTACAGTAGCACAGAGCAAGGTCTGATTTGGAAGCTCACTTTGCCTTGACAGTGGCAGCTTGGTTTTCTGAACATATGATTTCATACAACTGGCTCATTTACTCCAAGTGGAATGGCAATTCTCTTCTTCAGTCAGTCCAGCCTGTAGTTTCTTCAAGGTCGCATGGATGCTTTGAGACTTACTGTACCTTCCAAACACATGCTGTCTCAGAGAAATGGGGAAATAGAATATATATCGGTGTCAAACAGTCAAGAAGTATTAGTCAGCCTTCTGTTTATTTTTATTTGGTGGGCAAGCCGATATCAAGCTGCAAATTAGAAATTACTGCATGTGGTTTCAACTCTTAACTGAATCACTGTATACTGCATATTATTGTTTATTAAGTTCCAGTAGTGTGTAGGACTCAGTGTACAAGAAATACCTTTCCCAACTACTGAAAATAAGTTTTTGAGTCTGTGTCCCAGACAGGGTTGGCAAATAGATTTTGCCAGACAAAAGGACATAGATTCACCTGTCTGCCTTGATTTACGTGAAAAATGAGCATTGTAAGCCAACGCAAAGGAAGTCTTTTTGCATACAACATCAACATGAGGATGGTAAACCAGTACTCTGGGGAATAAAGCACAGGGGAACGGTGTCATCCTGTCTCTAGGATCAAAACAGTGGATTTTGGGGTATAAGAAGAAAGCAAAAGGATATCCCTTTTATCCTTCACTGGGGAAGCAAAAAGAACAGCGCTTTTTCCATTTATGACAGGAGGATCCCTGCTTTGTTAGTTGGAACTGCTGGGAGATAACTTTAACAGGCTAAACTAAAGTAGCTTGTCACACTTAAAGCAAAGTTTATATTTATAATAAATTTATGATTGTTTTCACTATATTTCAATGCTGTGAAGTTATAAAGGACCTGATCCTGAGTTGTACCAGTCAAGCTGTGTGTACATTGTTCTTTTGGGGACTGCAAATCTGGTAATTTCCGTGAGTGTGCAGTGAAAGAGGGTTGGATACTACAGGGGGACACTTTCAGAGGGGCTGCGGTGCACCGACTGTTACCTGCAAGGTACAGTGAGGGCTGGCAGAGCCCTTTTCTTTTTAGTATATACTCAACGTGCCTCAGGTGGCATGTGACCAGGATACATCACCGAATTTGGTCCGCTGGTTCCATCATTAGTTTCCATGTCCTGGGCTGGGTACTGACAGGGAGCATGACATGAACACTGATCCATGATTATTTGGGTGACTAACAGACTGGTGGTGTCAGGGAGCTGATACACCGTTAAGGACAAGCAAGTCTTTCTCTTGCTGAGGCAAGAGGGTAACAAGATGACTCCCAGTCCTGGGCACCTCAAGAAGAGTCACACTCCATGTGGACCACCAGCATGAGAGGGGGTGAGACACATTTTGCCAGTGGGTTTCACAGACATTTGCTGACAGCTGAGGATTGGTGAGACTCAGGAAGCTTGAGCTCCATTCCAGGCTCTGGTGGGAAGTGTTCTCTAGTAGGCACAGATTCTTTGGAGCATTCCCCCTCAAGTTTGATCCCTTCTGCCCATCCCATCCAATCTATCCATAAACAGTCCTGTCTCTTCCCCACCCCTGGCTGCTTGTCCCAGTCCCTTTATGCTTACCTATCCAGTCCCAGAAATAATGTATATAACAAAATATATTGTCTTTTATTTTGATTTCATTTTAGTTGACAAGTTCAGAATTTTTGTTTTTTAGAAGTACTCCAGGAAGAACAACCAAATTATCTCAAGACTGACTAACTTGTCTTACAATTCATATAGCAGAGAAAGATAAGCAGAGGGGAAAGTGGTTCATTTAATCCGTTCTTCTTGCTAGCATATATTTGTTCCTTGCAGAATATTTTCTTATGCTTCATGTAGTCTAGTTATAAATGTCTCGAGCACTTCTACTTCCCTCAAGACCTTTTGCATGAAGCCATATCTGCCATGGACTGTATCAATGGTGGAAGTGAGTGAATAATTGTTTTTTTTTTTATAGATAGCCAAACCAAAAAATAAAATAAACTAAATTTGGTTAGTTTCTAACCAAACCTGATTCCCGCCCTCCTTCCCCCTTCCCCCCAAATGAAAAGGCAAAACACGTTCATTCAGGTCGAACAAAACATTTTGAATGCCCACTTGAATCAGTGTTTGAAAATGAAATGCCAAAATGGTTCATTTTGAAAACACTGAAGTGAAACTTCAACATTTCCTACATTTGTTTTCCTCTAATTCTTTTGCTCAAACTATTCGCCAAATTTGATCCAAATTCATGAATGGTTTCAGGACCCTGAAAAACCCTTTGGCAACTTTACTATTTGCTGAAAAAAAATCACCTTGCTCTAATCAGTGGAGTATTGTATTGTTCGGACTGCCCAGAGGGGTGCCGTAAGATCTTATGGAGAGCTATAAGAAAAAGGCTGTAGGAAAAAAAGGCCATTTTTTCCATTTTACGGTTTTTAATTTTTCATGCATAAGTCTGAGGATTCATGTCTCTTTTATGGATTCAGCAAATTCTTTCTTTAAGACAGAAAAAGAACTGAGTAATAAAAATAAGGCATGGATAAGTTATTTTGAAAAAGAGCCTTGCACAGTGTTCACAAATTACCTCACAAGTTTCTCCAGCAGAACTCAGATTGTTTCTTGTCTTTTAACACTTCCTCGACAGAATGAAAAAGGAAATAATATGTGCAATTTCCACAATTTGTAGTTTGTTGAATATTCTGTTATAGCACGGAAGCTGCAAAGTGCTTTCATTTCCACTAGAGGGCAATAGATGCACAAGTGGTTAATCTGTCTCATTCTAACACACACACATTTTTATCTACCTAAACTAGCTGATAATTTTGCATGTGAAACAAAACAGCCAAGGTTTGGTTTAATGATCATTGTCTGTAAAATGTGCAACAAATCAAATTCAGATATTTCGGCAAAATGACAGATGACTTACACATTATTTTTACTGTACCCCAGCCAATAGACCTTTTTTTTTTTTACTCTCTGCATAGTTTATGGCGTGAAAACAACATCACAAGAACATGCAACAGATCAAGTATAATATATGTACGAAATCCAATCCAAAATAATTGTTACTTCATGTTAGCAAGTTACTAGGTGATAACAGATGCAGTGGTAGACTTTAACGTTAGAAGCCTGTATCTCCTTAAACAGCTTATTGGGGGTCAAGGGGAGATGTTTTATTCAAAGATAATATTATAAATGCCATGGGGACAATGAAAGAATTCAAAAGTGGAGCAACGTTTTTTCTCTGTGTTAAAGCAGGAAGACTTTAGTCAGAAACGCTCCAATTCAACAAGGTTCGTAAGCACATAAGGAGTCCCATCAAGTCACAAACTTAATGTTAGGCAAGTGCTTAAGTACCCTGCTGATCTGGGTTATAAAATTTAATTAGGCCGTCACAGTTCAGTTGCATGGTTTAGCTAGATCAGGTCCCGCTGATTATACAACCAGTGCTACAATGATCTGTGAGAAACATCTGCCAAGAAATGAAAGGGTAGGGGGAGAATGTACCTTTTTCACAAAAAGTTCCTGTCCAGCCAGTCGCACAAGTACAGGCTCCACTCACATGATCACAGGCAGCTCCATTCTGGCACGGACAGCTGGACTTACAATTTGGCCCAAAGGTTCCCTTAGGGCATCCTGGACAGAAAGAATAAAAGCTGGATGTTGAGCTGAATCTGGTAAAGATCCCTGTAGTACAACTGATGATCAGTTTGCAATTCTCAAGCACTTTTGAACCTTTTCTATTCACAAGGGGAGGGCCAAAATTTGTCTCTATACCCTGAAAACAGTTAACATTCGGTGTTCTCTTTGAGATGTTGGCTGCTGCAGGAAGCTTATGTTGCTTTATATTAAGGTGTATATTTTAAGGGAAAAGGGAGATCTCAGGGATGCAGTCAGTTTTGTATACTACACAGAACAACAACAAAGTGTACAGTTGCAGAAATTACAACTCCCAAATTCCTAGTTTCTGATTTGATGTGTACCACACACCGGTTTAGACTCACTTATTTGCCCAAATCCCATGAGAGCTCACTTGCTGGGATGGGGATAAGCCATGCAAAATTCCTAATGTTGCTCTTAAAACCCATTTCCTCCCCCCGCCAACTTTTTTTCTGCAATCCAAATTCCACAGTAGAACCCAGGTAAGTGAGAGGGAACATTAAACAGGGTGACCTCCTCCGGAAAGCTCCAGACTGAAAGCTGCATGCCCTACTTACATGCTCTGCTTGGAAACATTCAAGCCAAAACATTACATCTGGGAGATGGATAAGAGACTTAGATTTTCATAGCAGTAATTGTTGGGAATTTAAAGGAAAGACTGGTATCTCACTCACTATCTCAAGGAAAAAACACCCACTTCAGCCTGTAAATAATATCCTCCAGGGCTATAGAAAAATCAATTAAAATAGGGCCAGCTGGCTAATTTACATTAGACACACTTTAGACAGAGCTGAATGGTAGTGATAGCTTAGCCTAGACACAATAATGCAGGGCTTCTCTGGCAGTTTATAGGTCTTGCTAACTCATTTTGAAATGAGTTGTGTAGATATCTGCCAGATCCCTTTAAAATGGAAGGACTTCAACATTTGTATTAACAAAGTCATTTTTAGGCAGTCTGGAAAATATCACAGAGCCCAAGAAACAACATGATGTGGGCTTTCAAAGATGAATCTGTAACTGGAAGTACAATAAATAACTAGTTAGTTTAGGAATATCTAAGGCTCCTATCACTGGGGTATGCAAGTATCTTGAGAAGGAAGCAAATGGGCAGGCCCAACATAATATACAATATTTCATTCTCCTCCCCTTTTTAATCTGCCTTCCTCTTGGCGTTTCTCTCTTTCTTTTTGTTTATTCCTTTTTCCTATCATGAACGACATTGTGAATAACATAAATACTGCCCACAAAACTAGTGTCATGAGGTAAAATATGGCAGCTGGACTTTGAAGCTGAACAATTTTTGGACCTACAATGGTATTTGTAGTTAGGGATGGCAAGATGCAGTGTTCAAATCTCATGCTTTAGGGCATGACTGGGGCAGGAAGGAATCTTGCCCCTTACAAGAGTTCACATTGTATGATGTTTTTACAGCTCGTATTACCTGAGGTGTATTTGGGAAAGAGATTAGTATCAGAATATGGGCTATGATGCAGGGAGGATATCAGCATATCTATGTTTGCGTCCATTGTGGACATGTAAACTATTTCTATCTGCCTGAGCTCTAAAGGAGTTTTGGAAGAAAAGGCAAATAACTTAAAACCTTACATGAGGGAGCAAAGATGCAGATATATGCAATTCAATCACCGTAACATGAAGTGCAATTGCCAAAGTAGCTGTTCAATTCAAAACTATTCTGAAAATAACTCTCCTGGAATCCAAATGATTAATTAACCTGTCTAGCACTGCTGAAATCTGAGCCTCCTGAAAAATGTGCATTCTCCTATCTATGGAGAACTCCAATGTGGATGCCTTCCTAAAAATAATCAAAAGGAAAAACAATTTTTGATTTTGGTCACCGTGAATTCCCCACTTTGATGCTCTTGCACTTACTCTGCTCACAGTGTTTCCCAGAGTATCCTGCTTCACAGAAACAAATCCCAGTGACTGGGTCACAGCTACCGTCACTGTTATTGCAGACACACAAGCTTTCACAGTGCTCTCCCCAACGGCCAGCATCACAAGCTGCGAAGCAACACAACAACATTTGCATGAGACTGAACTGCATGCTTGAAGTAGCAGGCAGTGTTATATTTGGATGGGAGATTAGAAAATAGTTACAATAGCCAACATTTTCAAACCCAGATGTTTAGGGCCAGATCTTCTGCTGGGGTAAATAGGCATCGGTCCACTGAAGTAAATGGAGTTATACTGGTTTACCCCAGTGCATAAACTGATATTAAAGCGACTAGATCAAAGTGATTTAACATTCAGAAATGATGAGTACTCCTCCATGGAGAGAAAATACCAGGTACTGAAGGGCTCTTTAACTTATCAGAGAAAGGCATAATCAAGAATCAATTACTAGAAGTTAAAAGCCAGACATATTTCAAATTAGAAATAAAGCACATGTTTTTAACAGACAGGGTGAGGACAAATTGGAACACACTACCAAGGGAAGTGGTGGATTCTCCATCTTTTGAACTCTTAAGATCAAGACTGAATGCTTTTCTGGAAGAAATGCTTTAGTCAAATAAGTTTTGGGGCTGACTACAGATGTAACTGGATGAAATCCTACGGCCTGTGTTATACAGGAGATTAGCCAAGATGATCCAATAGCCCCTTTTGGCCTTAAACATCTAGGGATCTGTGAATTTCAAATGAAGTCAATGGGTGATGCACTTACTCAGCATTTCTGAAAATCAGGACACTGATTTGAATGCTTAAACGTAGATTTAGGTGACTAATTCTAGACACTGAAGTTTGTAAATTTTGATCACTGTTACTTTGCATAAGGCTTATTCATTTTTGTGCAGAGAGAAGTTCTCACTTCGGGAGAAATTTTTTGGAAAAAAATGCATTTAATTGGGGGAAAAGACACCCTTCTCACTTTCGTTTTTACTCTCCTCTGGAAAAAGGAGAGACTTTTTTAAAGAATGTTTTTCGCACTCCAAAATGAAACAAACAGATTTCTGAAAGTTTGTGGTTTTCAGTCCAAAAAAATGAAAATTTTCATGGAACATTTTGAATTAGATGAAAAAGTGTAATTTCTTTTGAAATTCTATGTGAAATGTAAAAAGAAAAGGAGTACTTGTGGCACCTTAGAGATGAACAAATTTATTTGAGCATAAGCTTTCGTGAGCTACAGCTCACTTCATCAGATGCATTCAGTGGAAAATACAGTGGGGAGATTTATATACATAGAGAACATGAAACAATGGGTGTCACCATACACACTGTAACCAGAGTGATCAATTAAGGTGAGCTATTACCAGCAGGAGAGCAGGGGGTGGGGGGGACCTTTTATAGTGATAATCAAAGTGGGCCATTTCCAGCAGTTGACAAGAACGTCTGAGGAACAGTGGGGGGTGGGGGGATAAACATGGGGAAACAGTTTTACTTCATGTAATGACCCATCCACTCCCAGTATCTATTCAAGACTAAGTTAACTGTATCCAGTTTGCAAATTAATTCCAATTCAGCAATCTCTCCTTGGAGTCTGTTTTTGAAGGTTTTTTATTGAAGTATTGCCACTTTTAGGTCTGTAATCGAGTGACAAGAGAGATTGAAGTGTTCTCCAACTGGTTTTTGAATGTTATAATTGTTGACGTCTGATTTGTGTCCATTTATTCTTTTATGTAGAGACTGTCCAGTTTGACCAATGTACATGGCAGAGGGGCATTGATATGTGGACACAGTTGGCAACGGGCTTTGTTGACAGAGCCAGAAGAGTATCCAGAAGTCACCTACTACAGGACAGGCCCAACAAAGAAAATAACAGAATGCCACTAGCCATCACCTTCAGCTCCCAACTAAAACCTCTCCAATGCATACTCAAGGATCTACAACCTATCCTGAAGGATGACCCATCACTCTCACAGATCTTGGGAGACAGGCCAGTCCTTGCTTACAGACAGCCCCCCAACCTGAAGCAAATACTCACCAGCAACCACTCACCACACAACAGAACCACTAACCCAGGAACCTAGCCTTGCAACAAAGCCCATTGCCAACTGTGTCCACATATCTATTCAGGGGACACCATCATAGGGCCTATTCACATCAGCCACACTATCAGAGGCTCGTTCACCTGCACATCTACCAATGTGACATATGCCATCATGTGCCAGCAATGCCCCTCTGCCATGTACATTGGTCAAATTGGACAGTTTCTATGTAAAAGAATAAATGGACACAAATCAGACGTCAACAATTATAACATTCAAAAACCAGTTGGAGAACACTTCAATCTCTCTGGTCACTCGATTACAGACCTAAAAGTGGCAATACTTCAACAAAAAAACCTTCAAAAACAGACTCCAAGGAGAGATTGCTGAATTGGAATTAATTTGCAAACTGGATACAATTAACTTAGGCTTGAATAGAGACTGGGAGTGGATGGGTCATTACACAAAGTAAAACTATTTCCCCATGTTTAACCCCCCACTGTTCCTCAGACGTTCTTGTCAACTGCTGGAAATGGCCCACCTTGATTATCGCTACAAAAGGTCCCTCCCACCTCCGCTCTCCTGCTGGTAATAGCTCACCTTAAGTGATCACTCTGGTTACAGTGTGTATGGTAACACCCATTGTTTCATGTTCTCTATGTATATAAATCTCCCCACTGTATTTTCCACTGAATGCATCCGATGAAGTGAGCTGTATTTCACGAAAGCTTATGCTCAAATAAATTTGTTAGTCTCTAAGGTGCCACTAGTACTCCTTTTCTTTTTGTGAATACAGACTAACATGGCTGCTACTCTGAAACCTGTCATTATGTGAAATGTATTTACCGTTTTTTGACCAGCTCTACTGTGTAGTGACCCAAAAAGGGAGGACACTTTTCAATTTTCCAGAAACATATGTATTCTATTTAAACACGAAAACACTTTGAGTTTTCCCTGGGTTCCTGGGAAAGGTTGAAAGTTCCTTCTCAAACTCCACCCTCAATTTTGCCAGTATATCCAGAATAGAAAAATCACCCATTGCTTTAAGAGAAGGGGTGGAATTTATCAAAACCAGAATCAAAATTACTGAAGTCTGCAAAATCAATGGAAAAATTTGCCATGAAGTTTCAGTTTCATTGGAAAATATTTAGCACAAATGGAAGTAATGGAGATTTGCCACAATCTGTGCATTATCAGAATTGCTGTGGTTCTAAAATCATCCTTGTTGTATCAGCGTGACAGTTTACCAGCCCAGGAACAAAATCTACTCCATTTTACAATGATGTTGATGATAGTAAAAAGAACTAATAGTGTGTTATTGCAGCTGTCATGTGCGACAGTCAATGGGATTTAGACTCCTAAGTGTCTAAATCCCTTTTGAAAATGATATGTCACCTCCTAAACGCTGAGCACAGCAATGCCTAAATAGTTTAACAATTTATGCCTCAGTTCCCCATCTGTAAAATACGAATAATAACACTTTTCCCTAACTCACCGGGGAGTTGTGTGGATAAATACATTGAAGACTGGGAAGCACTTTGAGATCTACTGTTGAAAAGCTCTATATAAGAGCTAGGTATTATTATTGTACTGTGTTGTAAGAGAGAGCAGAATTTCACACAGCATTTATATTCACAAGTTAGGGAGTGACATTATGCCACAAAACCATCTGTGCTGCTCACTTGTTGAGATAAGTCTTCCCTCCAGACAAAGTGAAAGATTGGGAATTAATCTTAAAACTAAGCTGTATTGAAAATGTAAAACAAAACTGGCTATCAGTCAAAATACTAATGGCACAGTCGGTGTTCAGAAAATTGATGCATAGTGTTAAAATAGGTGCTTATATGAACACTTTGTGCTTCATCAGTCATCTATTTCAAAACTATGAACATAGATAATTAAGGATTATCACCACCCAGGCTGTATAAATCTATAAATACACAATTTCAAAAGCAACAAGATTAGCAAAAATATATTAAAAAGTTTAATAGTCTGACAAGTCTAAGAACAAACAGAGTCTTGGTTCCCTTGGTTTCCATTTAAGTTTATGAAAGACAGCACAACTTGAGTACAGAGGATACATTGCTGACTTACGACGTTTGCAGTCATGGCCACTCCAGCCAGGAGGACATGTGCACTCTCCGGTAACATGGTGACACTGAGCATTGCTATCACAGCTGCACTGCAACAGACAGTTTTGCCCATAGTAACCATGGGGGCAGGCTGAAAACAAATAGACAGATGGTATTTTTCACCTAGATATTAACTCAAGCATGGGCTGTCATTTCAAATGAGACAGCAACCACTTCACTTGTTCTGCCCTCCTTCCGCCTTCTGAATCAGATATTAGCCGAACACAGAAAATAAAAACAAAAATGAGCGAAATATCAGCAGTTTATATACTAAGAGAGCAGGGCTTAATAAAGCCTAATCCCATGCATTGGGAGTCACTCAACTGACTTAGTGGAGTTGCTTCATAAACTTCATAGCATGTCCAATAAATCAGTTAGTTAATGGAAATATGGAAAGGGAACCTCCTGCTGAAGCGGGGAGTGCACAGGCCCAAACCCTGAATTATGAATGTCAGTGACATTCATGGCCAAAGTTGAATGACATATTTGATATTACGAGCTGGGACAATGCTCTCCCTAAGAGGGAGACATGGAGCTGGAGTGGGACCAAAGGGGCCTGTTGTTCAGTGGCAGCTCTTACCTCTGGTAGATCCCCAAGATCCATGCAGGATATAGGGAGGGATCAATCCCCACATTCTTCTGTAGGGTTGGAGGGGCAAACTCAACTCCCAGTGGAAGAATATAGGGGGCCTCTATAATCCCCCCACTCCCTCTTTAGGTGTTTCAGTAGCAACTGAAGTCCTCTGTTTAGTCACACAACCAGTACATCATAGGCAGCTTTCCCATACTGTCTGGCCAAACTGCTCAAATTCAGCTCTGGACTGAATCATTTTGGGAAAGATTGTAGCCTATTCTGCCCATGATCTCTCAATGAAGGGAACCAACTAAATGCCAAATGTGCCTATTGATGCCATATGGTGGCAGTTTGGTGATGTGGCCACCAGTGCGTCAGGGCTTGGACTGAGACCACCAAACGGCCACCAGGTGGAAATGACTTTCCTTCAAGACCAACATAAACTACATTTGAATTGGTGACCAGAAGTCAAAGGCTGTGTTACCTTATGGCTGAGATTTTCAAAAGACCATAAAGGAAGCTAGATACCCAACTCCCATTGGAAATCAGCCTATTTTACTTTTAGTGCTGTCATTTTCTCTCTGCCTAGCATATTGCCATACAGTTGGACTGATGGTTCCATGATTATTTGGTGCAGCTGTTTAGCTCATCATTTGGATTCCTCTCTAATCTCTCTCTGTCTGGCAAACACCATAAATCCATCCTGGTCAATTTGTAATGCATCTGAAACTTTGATTAGCATATCCTAATGCAGCAAATATCTTATAAAATAGACAGAAGGTAAAAATCAGTGCTCAGGCTGATTTCTCTATTGACTTTCTTTTTGTTGACCCATGCAGTATGATGACTTACGTAGGTAACAGGATTTCCCAGTGTATCCCAGAGGGCAGTCACAGATTCCAGTCACTTTGTTACACTTCCCTCCATTCTCACAGGTCTCACAGAAGAACTGGCAGTCTACTCCCCACAGACCATCAGGGCAATCTATAAGAAACAAGAAAGAAGAGCACGGAACCATTTGTTATCTCAAGACAGTTGCAGATTTCAGCTGTTACCGAAGGGAATTAAAAAAATAAATAAAGCAGAACTGGAAAGAGAATTATCTCTATGGATCGACAGCTCTTCCATAACAAAACCCCCAAAGAAATCAACACAATATTGTATTGCAGCCCTTTGAGAAAACATCTGAACAGAGACACAGAGGCTCACTTCCAACCTCCATCACAAAAGGCCTGTATTTCTCTATGGTTTGCAATACACTAATGTTGCAGTTGGTTTGGATGTATCTGAGGAGTGGGTTACATAGCACAGAAGAGGAAAAGGAGAACCTCAATTAGAAGAGAGATTTTTGAAAAAACAACACCACCACCATCGCCACAGAGTACAGAACTACACTCTGCATTTCCTGCAGTGATAGGGCCAGAATCAGATGGGAAGGAGCTAGGTAGAGATCCGAGCTTTAGGAAAAGAGCCGGGTGCTCAGGTGTGGGATTTGGTTTGGGCTGATTTCTAATTTCCTATTTTCTCCTCTTGATGGATAGACGCACCACTGACCTCTGACCTTCTCCTTCAGCTAACGTTTGTGAAGCATCAGGAATCCAAGCACAAATCTCAGAATTACACATATTGTTGGTCTGGGGAAGTCCATCAGAAAATGAGAAACGGGGATGTGTGTGAAAGAATCAGTTATAACTGTAGTTCTCTGCACTACCATACCGCATTCCATCTGAGGATATCAAAGTGCTTTACCAATATTAATGCCCAGGACCCCTGTGAGATATATCATTATCCCCATTTTATGAGGTGGAACCGGAGGTACACAAGTTAGTTGATGACTGGGATGGGAGCCGAACCCAGATTTCTCAGCTCCTTATCCTTTCGTTAGCCATAAGGCCATATTTTTTATTTATGAGGCAGCAAGTCAGCAGTCCTAGTAGAGTGGATAGATGTCCTCATCATGAGGGCAACAGCCAATGCCTGAGGTAAGAAGTGGAAGCAGGGTTTTCTAGGACTGTTCCCAGTAGCAGTAGCTTCATGTTCTTGCCCCTTCCCCATCTTTCCCCTTCTTCCCCATGCTTTTACTCCCTCACCTGTTCCCCCTCCTGGCCTTTTCCCTTACTGGTTTCAGGATGGCTAAGGGAGATACCCAGGCCCTCTTTCCATATTGTCTCTGAGCTCTGCACTTGTTCCCTGCAGCAGACATGAACCAGGCAGGAGGCACTGTGTACACAGCAGCACAGACCTGCTGACAGCTCGAGTCTAGTACAACTGCCCTGATCTCCCTGTCTAGCACCAGCCCTGCCCCTTACCCAAATCACCATTGCAACTGGCACCTCTATTGGCAGTCTTAGCAGAGAGAATGGAATGAACGGGCAGGGTGACTGAACTAACTCCTACCGCTTCGGAGTGGATTCCATGAAGTTCGTATGAAGTCCATATGGATACATGAGCTTGTCCATTCTGCAGATAGAAGGTGTTACCTTGTTCCAGTTTTTATGGACACTAGAATTACTTAACCTCTCCCCAGTCTCCCCATTCCAACTCCACAAAGGTTAAGTTCTCTGCACAATAATCTATGCAAGCATCAAGCATTGATCACATGCAGCACCTCTTCTGCCAGCGGGGCACATGCACTGCCCAGTCTTTGAGTCGCATAGTGCTCCTGCACAGCCACAGCTCTGCCTGCAGTTCACACCAAACTTCCCTGGGCCACACGCTGTTCAAAAGAAGCCAGAGGACATGGACTGTGGTTACCATAAGAAAACATTCTGAAACGTTAGGAAGCATCACCAATACCAATTTTAATCCAGGTAGCACTGCTATAGAGTGATCTATTTTAGTGCCAGTGTCTCAGTGATTTGTGATCTTTAATTAACTGTGCAATAAAACTCTGGAAAATCTAGGCCTGAAGCTTTAAAAGGAAATATTAAGTTACTGGGAGCCATAAAAAGTATTCTTAACTATCCTCAATCTTTTATCCTCATTTTAGGTGACAGGCAGGATGATCCTGCACTTCCTTCCAGTTGTCCATCTCTAGAAGAATGTCATTGGACAGAGAACCCGCCTCTTGTCCGGGGATTAAAATGAGCTGCTACATTATTTATTTATATTTTCCACTCATTTCCCAGACCAGTGGGAGTCTGCAGGCTTTAGCTGACACAATATATTCAGCACATATTGCATTTCAAATGAAAGGAGGAACGGAATCTCAACTTCACTCCTCCAAGCTCTGTGCTCTTTCCTATACCCATAATCTGCCACGGAGCTAACATCCCCTCCCAGTCTAGAGAGTCAGAAAGTGGCTCTCTTCACATCTGATGGTCGATTATGCTGCCTAGATGCCCTAGTACCTGAGCCTATCACCACCAGCATACACCAGAGGTCAAATTTACCACTGGCATCAGTATACACAACTACAGTTGGCTTCATTGGAAGCGTGCCTACTTGTGTCAGTAACAATTTAGCATAATATCTAGAATTTTGGTATCTGAACTTGGGTTTCCCAGGGCTGAATTTCTTAATCCACTTTTACACCTCTCTTTGAAATATGCCTCCAGGTACCTACATAAATGGCACCTTTCTCCATGGAAACCTGGTGGGCATGGATGCTTGCAGTCTCCAGTCTCCTGGTCACATAAAGCATCAGCAGGACAGCTGCACTTCAGCTTACAGCCAGCTCCATAAAAGCCAGGCGGACACTCTGAAAAACGTGAGTGCACAAAGAACGTATGTTAGAACAAGGAGTAGCTGAGAAAACTGAAACAAAAGTTGCTAGATAATTTGGCAGAAACGATATTTGACATAGAAATTCAAACATTACAAGGAAATATAATTGATAATCTAGCTGTGTTCACTATTGCATAAATTTAAACATTTACATTAAACACAGAAGGGGTCATTACGCATGGGATGCCCTCCAAACACCATCCAAAATACAGAGTCACATACTGGATAAGGACATGTTTAAATATAGATTTCAATGACAGCCTAAGAGTAGCACAGCAGAGGGTTTTCATAACAGTAGAACAGAACAAAAGAGTCAAAGGGACAATTTCTGCTCTATGATACTCCCATGCATCACTTACTGACATGAGTGGGAGTTTTGTGCCTACAACCAAGGGCAGAATACGGTCCTAATTTCCTGTCACTTAACCAGTGCAGCAATTCAGTAGAGTTGCAAGAGGTGTGAGAAGAGAATTTGACCCTCAGAGTACACTTTCCACTACATTCTGCCTCACTGTGTAGTGCCTACACAATGGGGCTCTAATCCATGATTGGGACCTCCAGCATTACTACATTAAAAACAAATAATAATTATAGTAGTAACAACAACAGACCTAGCTTATACCAGAGAAAAAAGCACATGAATTCATGAGAAACAGCTGCTGAAAGTGCCTGTATAATTCAGTCTACTTATTCTCTTGATGTTATTACTTCTGATACCCCAAAATGCTTGCCTTCATATACACTTCTGCTTGGGTGCCTTTGTACAGAGTTCAGAGGTGGAAGAATAGGCTTGTTCTGATTTGATCCTTAGCCAAGAGGACTAAGGATATTTAATAATTATCATTATTATTATTCCCCACCCACCCTCAACCCCATCAAAATCCTACCAGTTGCCCTATGGCATAAGAATTCAAGGGGAAATGTGAAGGAATTATCTATATTGCATTACTGCATTAACTGTCCACAGACGATTACGAAGATACTGAAATGTGACTGTAGAATACAGTTTCCTTTGCACTAGCCACAAAAACCATAAAGGGAGAAATGAAAAAGCTGCAAAACTGATCTAGTGACACACTGCCACAATCATTCACAAAAAGTTCAGCTGCCTCAAAATACAGCCTGGGGCTCTAAAATCACTGTCTGTGTAAAAAAATCCCTGGGATAAAATCTTGACCTTATTGAAATCAATGGCAAAACTCCTATTATCTTCAATGATGTCAGGTTTCCATCCCAAATGTCAGCTGCTCAGGTTAAAACAGCTGGGCAGATTCTACCCTCATTTATACTCCTGCAACCTCAATGAAGCCAAATGTTCCCCTGGCTCTGGAGTAGGAAAAATACAGAGAAACAACTGGCAGACTACTTTAGAGTTTGGTGCAATGCAAGACTGCATGTGAGAGGAGCAGTGAGATGTAATAAATAGAAACAGGACTTTCCAGAAATAAAAGGATCAGTAGTAGATTATACCTTTCTGGCACTTGTTCCCTTGATGACCTGGTTTGCAGGTGCAAGTACCATTTCTGGCATTGCATGCCAGAGTGTTCTCCTTGACACACTGACATTCTTCTGAACAGCCAGCTCCAAAGGTCCACTTGGGACAAGCTGCAACCAGATTAAATGGAATTGTTAATTTTGCAATTGCACATGACTTATTTTAGATGTCTACACACAGATCTGCAGAGAGTGCTTTTGCTGTCAAACAAAAAGTTCACTGTACTTCTGAGCAAATATGTACACTCACAGGCACTCAAGTGTGTACACATGAGCATGTATGTGTGTAAAATACAGTTTACATAATTCTTGTATTAACTAACTCATTTTATTTTGGGCAATGTGAAGTGAATGTAATAATCAGAAATGTTCAAAAGTAGAGCTAGTTGCAATCTTTTGAACAAAACTTCGGGTCAAAAAATGAAAGTTTTAATGAAAAAGTCAATTTTCCCCATTTTTCTAATAATAAGCCCCCTAGATACTTTACATGTTTGTTTTGTTTTTCATTTTATTTGTTTTTCATTCTCTCACTTTGCAGTCCTTATATTCATTGTTGGTCTTCTTCACCTTCATAATTGGTCATCTCTTTCTTCTCTTTTCACATCTGTTCTGTTATCATTAGCATTCTCTTTCTTCACATGTGGGTTCCATCACTGTATTTCTCTACTCTTTTTTTATGTTCAGTTGTTAAGTCTTAATTATTCTGTGTTTGTTCAGCTCTCAGCCATTGGAATTTTCTTTCTTTTCTGAGTTCAGCTGTTGGTCATCGTACCTTTGATTTTTATTGGTTTTGACTGTTGGTTACTGTGCCTCTCTTCTTTCTGTGCTCAGTCATTGTGCTTCTCTTCTTTCCCTGTGGTCAGTCGCTTGTCTTTGTTCTTTGGGAATTTGGTTTTTTGGGGGTTGAAGAGCCAGTTTTGTTTGGTCAACGTAATGATGAGGTCAGTTAAAAAAAGCAGTTTCAAAAAAAGAAAACCCTTTATTTTAGTAAAAAGAAAAGGAGTACTTGTGGCACCTTAGAGACTAGTACAATTCTTAATTTGAAAATGGAAAAAAATCACAAAACATTTGAAGGTAAAAAATGGTTCTGTTTTAAAGACCAATAGATGAAAATAGTTCTGAAATATTGAAAGTTCTCAAGAAATATTTTTCAGTTTTCTATCATCTCTAGTTTCAGCTCCAGGTGAACCCTAGCCCTAGCCCACCAGCCAGCCCCGACCCAGGGCCCAACCCTAATTCTGGCCTGCCAAACCTTGATACTAACCCTGCCCAGGGGCCACCAGCCAGCCCCAATCCTAAACCAAGTCACCAGATGGCACTAACCCTAACTCAATTTTGTACATGACCTGGTACCGGCCCTATTCCTAGCGTGGGTCATCCACCAATCCCAATCCCAACCCCAACCTGAGTCAGGCCCCACAATCTAGCCCCCATAATCTGGCCCAAATCTGACAGTATCCCAGGAATACTAACTCTAACCCATGATTTGACCCAGCCTGAACCCAAACCTAACCACATACCTGCTCCAACACTAAATCTAGCCTTAGCCTTGACCAACAATCTGGTCCCAGCTCTAAGTGAAAAGATCAGTGAAAATTACACAACACTTCCATGGGCTTGGTAAACATTATCTGCTCTTATATGCCCTGAATTAGCAAAGCACTTAAGCATGAGCCAAACTTAAGCATGTGAGTAGTCCCACTGACATCAGTTGGGCTACACATTGTTAAATAACCTGTGGAATTGTGTTGAGAGACTTTTTACTCCGATTATGCCCTGCATGTTTTAAATAAATAATTTAGAAAAATCATTAAGACTTACTTAGATGGCAGAAGCGACCATATAACCCTGGGTCACATAGACAGGCTCCATAGAGTCTATGGCAATAGCCATTGTTGGCACAGTTACATTTCTTGTTACAGTTCTTCCCAAAGAATCCTTTTGGACAGCCTAGTGGGTGCACAAATAAACACAGCAATTGATGGGCAATACGGTACCAAGCTTTTGCTATAAAATACCATGCCAGCTTCTCTTGGCATACTTTCTACAGAAAATATATTGAGGAAAAAGGATGCTCTGCTGGGTAAGATACTGGACTGGGATTTGGGAAATCGGAGTCCGATATCTGGCTCTGCCACAGTCTTCCTATATGACCTTGGACAAGTCACTTAATTTCTTTGTGCCTCAGTTTGCCATCCTTAAAATGGAGATATCATCTTTTCTCTCCCACCCTTTGTCAGTCCTATTATTTAGATAGCAAGCTTTTCCCTAGCACAAGGACCTATCTCACTTGTGACTCTTAAGATCTACCATAGTACAAATAAATAAAAATAAGAATAATGGTAAATCACAAGACTCCCAGGCAGCAGTTATACATAATTAAACAACAGAAATCGTACCATCCTCACAAATCTGTCCATTAATTCCCGGTGGGCAGTGACATTGTCCTGTTACATGGTCGCATGAGCCTCCATTCTGACACTTACAAATGCTATTACAATCTTGCCCATAAGTCCCAGGGGAGCAAGCTGCAAAGAAAGCAGAGGAGATGAATGGGCTAAGTAATCTCTTCACTGCATTAGAAGCAAAGTGAAATAATGCTTCAATCATCAGAATGACACCGAGCAATTAAAGAACCGTTTTGGTCAAGCAACCCACAAATGATGCCATGTCACTCTCGTTGCCATGTACAATAATATCTGTCTCCATGGAGATTATTGAAAAATGACAGCCGAAGTAACAAGACTCAAATATCTGATGGGAAATGTGTCTTTTAGCTAAATGCAATCCCTGGCAATGTAAAAAAAAGCCATGCATGGGGTTTAACTCCCACTGACTATAAATGAGAGTTACCAGGCTGAAGTTTTGAAAATGTGGAGGTAATTATTTAAAAGACATAGATTATTACTTCCATATTGCTGCCAGTACCTAAAAGAGTTAGATTCTCTGATGTTCCAGAGACATTTTATATTGTCCAAAGATCGCTAATACATACAGCAGCCGACTCCGTTTGGTAAAGCTGTGATTGTTCTAGCAAAAAAACCATTTTGGTAAATGAGCAGAGCTCCGTTATTTTCAGCTTGAGCTGTAAATACAGTTGCTGGGATTATCTTCAGTAACTGACTTAATTGACATTTTCTCAACACACATTAAGAAACCTGAGATTCAGCATTAATTTTCATCCAGTTTTCTTTCATTCATTATTATGGAAATTTAGCTTCTGATTTGCCCAACTATTTAGCTTTTCTCTAAAAACTGTGATCTATGCTGGTTTAAAAAAGAGAAGGGGAGAAAAAAAATGAGATATTCATAGAGGGCCAAATCCTGTATTTTCCATTGATCCATACAAGGCAAATTATCATTATCAACATTGACTTCAGTGGGATGAGGATTTGGCCAATAACCCAGTTCCATAATTCTGTATTCTTTTTAAAGATAGAAAAATATTCCATTGGATTAAATATATGAAAATCCTTTGTAAATATAGAATGAATATATTATTATTTGTAAAGTGCAGCAGAGAGCCTGGGCCCTGCCTCAGCCAGCTTACAGTTTATGCCTAAGCAACTTTATTACATTATGAATACAGGTAAAACATCCCAATTTAAGAGCCAAAAGACACCACAGTGGCTTACTAACTCTAGCTATGATGCACAGCAAACTAGAAACTATCACAGTTTAATCTTCTTTGTTCTCGTTCCCTCACTACGGCCCAGTCCATGCTAATCCAACTTGCAGCTGATCAGTCCTGGGAACCTGCCCCACTGTCATTAGGACTGCAAAATTTTCTCTCTTCCAGTAACTTGCTGTCACCTATTCTTTCTCCATGACATCATTATGGGTCCATAAGAACCACCACAATGTGAAAACCCCACTGATGAAGGCACAAGCTCTGATTGGCTTTACATAGATGAAGAAAACATGTAGGGTACATCAAGAAATGAGCATTCTACCTATCCATTTGGTTTCTCCTCAACCCTGTGCACCTGCCCTGACAGAGCATGAAAGTTCTTTTACAAGGTGGTAGAGACAAGAAAAAAAGAGAATCTCTTGTAACATCACTTCCATATAAAGGGCACTGGCTTATCAACCAGGTTCAGTTAGAGAATTCTGAGCATTAAAAACTCTGATACTAACAAACAACTCCTATACAGTATAGTAAATAAATCAGAAAATTCATAAAAATAGTCCCAAATCCACCAACACAATAAAAGACTGGGATAGCTTGTCTGGGCTACCATAAAGGGACGCCTGGACAAACCATATTTACTTTCTGTATCAACGCAGACAGCAGTACTCTCTCCCAGAAGAGACCTTTGAAAAAGAGCCAAGAGAGCAATGGACTACACCATAGACCCACTGCAGCACATTAGTATTTTGTGGAAAGTGTATAAAATGAATGGGACTTGATATAAAAACAAACACATAAAGAATGGTTACTCAACTTTCATAAATGTTATTCTTCAAGATTTGTTGCATATGTTCATTACACAAGGGGTGTGCATGTCTTGTGCACTGGTGCTGGAGAGTTTCTGCTAGCCCTAGAAAAAGTGGTAGGGGTGGCCATGCTGGGCAGCCCCGTCAGTGCCCTAGTTCTCTGAGCTGAGGGTATAAAGGGCAGAGGCACCCTGCTCACCTTTCAGATCCTTTGTACTGGAGCCTTAGATTAAAGGCTCTGATGTGTCATGGAAGGAGGGTGACTGACATAATGGGCGTATGCAACATATCTTGGTGAACAAGAGTTATGAAAGGCAATTAACCATTCTCTCTTCTTTGAGTGATTGCATATATCCATTACACTAAGTGACTCTCACGCAGTTTCAATGGAGGCAGTGCTAGGAGTTTCATCAGAAGAGGAACTGCAGAACTGCTTTCCCTACATTAGCACTTTCCCTTGATGCAGTAGTAATTGCATAATATCTAATAAAGGTGTAGACTGTGGACCACGTTGCCATTCTGCAAATGTCCACAATTGGGACATTACTCACAAAGGCCATGGATGTTGAGTGAGCTGAATGTGCAGACAACTTTTCCAGAGGTGTCATAAATATAAAGGGAAGGGTAACCACCTTTCTGTATACAGAGCTATAAAATCCCTCCTGGCCAGAGGCAAAATCCTTTCACCTGTAAAGGGTTAAGAAGCTCAGGTAACCTTGCTGGCACCTGACCCAAAATGACCAATGAGGGGACAAGATACTTTCAAATCTGGAGTGGGGGGGAAAGGTTTTTGTCTGTCTGTGTGATACCTTTGCCGGGAACAGATCAAGGATGCAAGCTCTCCAACTCCTGTAAAGTTAGTAAGTAATCTACCTCGAAAATGCATTAGGTTTTCTTTGTGTTTTGGCTTGTAAATTCGCTGTGCTGGAGGAAATGTGTATTCCTGTTTTTGTGTCATTTTGTAACTTATTGAATCTGACTGCCTGTAAGATTATCTTCCATTCTGATCTTACAGTGTTGTTCTCTTATCTTTTTTTGTTCTTCTAATAAACTTCTGATTTTTAAGAATTTGATTGGGTTTTTTGGGACTTAAAAATCCAAGGGGTTTGTGCTCATCTTGTTTATTCTCAAGCCTCCCCAGGAAAGGGGGTCTAAGGACTTGGGGGGATATTTTGGGGAAATAGGAACTCCAAGTTGTCCTTTCATAGAATCATAGAATCATAGAATATCAGGGTTGGAAGGGACCCCAGAAGGTCATCTAGTCCAACCCCCTGCTCGAAGCAGGACCAATTCCCAGTTAAATCATCCCAGCCAGGGCTTTGTCAAGCCTGACCTTAAAAACCTCTGAGGAAGGAGATTCTACCACCTCCCTAGGTAACGCATTCCAGTGTTTCACCACCCTCTTAGTGAAAAAGTTTTTCCTAATATCCAATCTAAACCTCCCCCACTGCAACTTGAGACCATTACTCCTCGTTCTGTCATCTGCTACCATTGAGAACAGTCTAGAGCCATCCTCTTTGGAACCCCCTTTCAGGTAGTTGAAAGCAGCTATCAAATCCCCCCTCATTCTTCTCTTCTGCAGGCTAAACAATCCCAGCTCCCTCAGCCTCTCCTCATAAGTCATGTGTTCTAGACCCCTAATCATTTTTGTTGCCCTTCGCTAGACTCTCTCCAATTTATCCACATCCTTCTTGTAGTGTGGGGCCCAAAACTGGACACAGTACTCCAGATGAGGCCTCACCAACGTCGAATAGAGGGGAACGATCACGTCCCTCGATCTTCTCGCTATGCCCCTACTTATACATCCCAAAATGCCATTGGCCTTCTTGGCAACAAGGGCACACTGCTGATGCGTATCCAGCTTCTCGTCCACTGTCACCCCTAGGTCCTTTTCCGCAGAACTGCTGCCTAGCCATTCGGTCCCTAGTCTGTAGCGGTGCATTGGATTCTTCCATCCTAAGTGCAGGACCCTGCACTTATCCTTATTGAACCTCATCAGATTTCTTTTGGCCCAATCCTCCAATTTGTCTAGGTCCTTCTGTATCCTATCCCTCCCCTCCAGCGTATCTACCACTCCTCCCAGTTTAGTATCATCCGCAAATTTGCTGAGAGTGCAATCCACACCATCCTCCAGATCATTTATGAAGATATTGAACAAAACCGGCCCCAGGACCGACCCTTGGGGCACTCCACTTGATACCGGCTGCCAACTAGACATGGAGCCATTGATCACTACTACTACTTTCCCCTGGTTCTTTGTTAAAGCACTTGGTGGTGGCAGCGTTTTACCTAATCCAAGGGCAAAGACTTTGTGCCCTGGGGAAGTTTTAACCTAAGCTGGTAGAAATAAACTTAGGGGGTCTTTCATGCAGGTCCCCACATCTGTACCCTAGAGTTCAGAGTGGGGAAGGAACCTTGACAAGAGGGGTAACACCCTTGGCACTGTAACACATGACGATGCAAAAAGTTGGTGATCCACTTGGACAGCTGTTGGGCTGTTACAGGTTGCCCCCTCATTTGTTCTGTGTAGGACATAAATACAGACTTCCAGCCAATTGCTGGTACCAGACAAAGGGGCTTCACTTCTCAGGGACCAGTTTGCGTAATACAGCAGAGATAATGATCTAGACTCGTAGGCATCCCCGATGGAATCCAGTAGGGCCAATGATGGGGCTGGTACAGTACAGGAGATGTTCCTCAGCTGTGTAGGCCTCTGGGTTGGTTGGTACTGAGATAGGTCTTTTCCCAGTTGTCATCATGGGTGATAGCTCCAGCACCTACTCTGAGGAAACAGGCAGCCTCATCATGTCCGGCTTGGGAACCAGAATCAGTGGCTCTGCCCTTATTGAGCCAGTAGGGAGTAGTACCAGGAAGTTCTCTCCCTTCAGTACCAGAGTGGCAAGCCTGTGAGGTCAAAGAATCCTGCACCAAGGACCTTGACTATGTGGAAGCCATCCCCTTGTTTGGCTTGGGAGCCTGAGAGGGCTCTGAGCACTTATGTCTCTTCCAAGAGTGTCTTGACTAAGGGGATCTTTCTCCTTTCTCTGCCTTCTGATAAACCCAGGGGAGCTGTCATAAAAATAAAGGGAAGGGTAACCACCTTTCTGTATACAGTGCTATAAAATCCCTCCTGGCAGAGGCAAAATCCTCTTACCTGTAAAGGGTTAAGAAGCTCAAGTAACCTGGCCGGCACCTGACCAAAATGACCAATAAGGGGACAAGATACTTTCAAATCTGGGCGGGTGGAGGGGAGAGAAAAAGGCTTTGTCTGTCTGTGTGATACCTCTGCCCAGGGACAGACCAAGAGAGCAAGCAATCCAACTCCTATAGAGTTAGTAAGTAATCTAGCTAATAAATGCGTTAGATTTTCTTTTGTTTTTGGCCTGTGAAATTCGCTGTGCTGGAGGGAATGTGTATGCTTGTTTTTGTGCCTTTTTGTAACTTAAGATTTTGCCTAGAGGGATTCTCTATGTTTTGAATCTGACTGCCTGTGAGATTATCTTCCATTCTAATTTCACAGAAGTACTAACCAATTGATTAGCATATTATTCTCAAGCCTCCCCAGGAAAGGGGATGTAAGGCTTGGGGGAATATTTGGGGGGAATAGGAACTCCAAGTGGTCTTTCCCTGATACTTTGTTAAATCACTTGGTGGTGGCAGCATACCCTCCAAGGGCAAAAAGTTTGTGTCTTGGGGAAGTTTTACCCTAAGCTGGTAGAAATAAGCTTAGGGAGTCTTTCATGCAGATCCCCACACCTGTACCCTAAAGTTCAGAGTGGGGAGGGAACCCTGACAGGAGCACTCTCCTTGATGGGGAGGAATTCCTTTAATCGATTGAGGTAGTACCTTTGATGGGCAAAAGGCGGCCTCCATAAGGATGTACCTCAGGCTTTCTTCTCTTGGTTCTTGTCCTGAAGCCTTAGCAAATCGGACGCCTGTCCCCGACATGACCCTCACTCAAGCACTTCAGACAGTGAGAGAAAATGTCTTTCATGGACATTAGTTTGTGAAGCCAGAGTACCTTAGCATATACTCCTCTGATATCAGGAGATGTCCACTAATTTATGAAGAAAGAAAGAAAGAAAGAAAGAAAGAAAGAAAGAAAGAAAGAAAGAAAGAAAGAAAGAAAGAAAGAAAGACTGACTCGAGGACACAAAAATGAGTACTACTAACCAGCAAAAAATACTAAATGCACATTCCCAGAGGAACAACTGACAGAGTGCTTTAACCACAGACCATGTAAGAAGAATCTGAAGGTTGGGCAGGTGGGGTTCTGCCCTTTATACTCTGATCTTGGAACATGAGGAGCACTAGGGTGTAAGCCTGGCCTCCCCTATGGGCACCGCTAAGGAAAACTCCCTGGTACTGGTGCACCAAGTGTGCAATGCTTTCTGTAATGGACATATGCAATTACTCGAAGACAAACAAGGGATATTGTACTGATTGCACTTCACTGGACTGGGTGTGGCAATACTTCACAATTCTAAGTTTCCTGATGAATAATTCAGGGTTCCTCTTTTATATTTTAGGCTTAATGTGTCACATAGGACATGGGGGCCTATCAGGTTAAGATGCTGCTGTGTCTGCCTCACCTGTAATTAAATGTTGCAAATGTGATCTTTCAGTGAGGCCATTCTATTCCTTAAACAGCTTTTCAGCTCAAAAGCAAAGAGCAGATTGTTTCCGCTTTTTATGGATTTGCCAGGCCAGGACAAGGACCCCATTAACTGTAGGATGTTGTCCAAACATACAGTACTTACTTTCATTGCATATCATTCCAGTCCACCCCGGTGAACAGATGCAGCCACTGTTTTCACTGTTACATTTGCCTCCATTTATACAATCATCACAGCTCAGGCTACAATCATTGCCAAAGGTGTTATCCAGGCAAACTGAAATGGAAAAGGACAGAAGGCTCAGTGAGCACAGGAACATGATCCTTCGACTAATAAGCTTTAACTTGTTCACTATCATTCCAAACACACACTGTAAAGAAGGAAATCCATGGAGCATTGTCAATCTAAAGAAATCAGGACTGGTGTTGTTGATGGATCTTCCCAAATGTCAACGTGTTTTGTCTTGACAAGAAGTGCCAATGAGAGTCCTCAAGTTTAAACAGTATGGGGTTTTGCTGGCAGGGCATTCTTGATGAAGGGCTCTCAACACTGGAAATCATCTCTCGCACTGCCCAACCAGAGTCCAAGTCTGTTGCTCTTCATGATACGATGTAAGCCCCAGAGATGTGGAGGAGGTCCTGAAGTTCCCCTCTTAAAACTCTGTAGCCTAACAAAGGAAAGTTGGGCTCCCTGTCTCTCATCCTTCATGATACTGTAAATCCCTGCCAGAAAGGTCTTAAGAAAATACTTCTGAAGAGCAAATATTTTTGTCTTTAGGAGGATCAGATCGCACCACCTACTACATATTTTCAACAGGATTTCTTGAGAGAGGATATCCATTGCCACCTCTCCAAATCCCTCTTTTCACATTACAGCAGCTGGAAGCTGTCCTATATATTGTCAACATACTCACTATATATTCCAAGAGCAAAGTTTAAATTATTCTAGGAAAGTTTATCATCTCCTTTTTCGGTTGTGATTATGAGTAAGCATTTTATTTACAAGAAAATATATTTGTTTTTTTCTCTCTCTCTCTCTTTCACACACATACACAGCCCCTTCAAATCCACACACACATGCAAGTACAAGCTTGCCTGCTACATAGTCTTTGTCGTAGGCTGAGGGGAAAAAACTTGCCCCTGGTTGAAATATCTGCTTTATATTACTAGCATAGCCATTTAATCAGCCTGTCCTCTCAGGGGGTTTGAGGCACATGACAGGAGTCTTTTTTGGATGGGGATTTCGATGAGTGTTTAAAATGAACTTGGCAGGATCCTTCAGCTAATATTAAGTCAGTGGGTTGCTTGTTTTTCATCTGTTATTTTATATGTAAGGTCAGATTTTCTAAGCCAATCAATACCCAACAGCTTCCACTGAGGAACCTGAGTAGGTGGTCAGATTTTCAAACATGTTCAGAATTCAGGAGCTGTCTCTGAGAACAATTTTGAAAAATCAGACCTAAATATCAGTATGCAAAGTGCCATTGAAAAGGTTACCGTGTTTACTTTAAAAATGAAGTAAAAGCCACTAGACCTATAGTACAGGCTAACATCTTGCAAGAGGACATGTTTTGACAGGCTGTTTTGTTAAAATATAGAGCACAGCACAAAAAGACTTTTAAAAATAGGAAGAAATAATTTCACATTTGAGAATTTTAAAAAATTGTAAACTTTTAAAAGATATTTTCTTCCTTCTATCACTGCCATCTTTAAGGCATTGGAGCAGCCAGTCTTGGCACCGTACATCAGCTTTGGGAAAAGTGCAGCAGCTCAGATACGAAGTTACAACCCCCCAAAAAGACATAGGTCCAATAGTGGAAAAAAACACCAACACTGGGCAATCAATATTAGACTTTGGTGCTTATGCTGTTAATTTTTCATGAGGCTACATTGCTTGCCAATTTCCCCATTGGTTGTCAGTCTCACAATATCTTGCTGTGGATGACTGGCTGCTGCTTTACTCTTTCTTCCAGTGTGTCTGCTTTCGTTTAAATGCAAGGTACACATCACATATTTTTTGGAAGTTTTATCTTTTTTATATAAATAAAAGTTAATTGATTAAAGCCAGGACTAGCCCCTGGCTGTGGAGCAAAGTCCCTCTGAAGTGTAATTAGACATTGCAATTACAAAACCGATACCATACAAAATAAATAAAAAAAAATCTGTCCTCTCACTCTGAGCAAGTAATACTTCCACCAAAAAGAAAGCATAGTGCTTTTGAGTCTATGTTATAATGACCAAGCCTTCTTATTTGGCTGGAACAACATGGATGTTGAGTCAGGTAATTTCCAGGTTGGAGACACAATTGTTCAGGCACATACATGGCATGGCAGGTATACATTTTCTAAGGTTATACACACACTGACTATTCAAGTTTATGACCAGTTCAATACCATCGTTCCTTTCACATATGCTGCACAAAATATTCAGCCGTTATTGTTCTATATCTAGATTTTCTGTGAGGTTGGAGTTCAGCAGCACTGCCACTGCAGAAAATACTGCCCCTTTCTGATGTAACCGTCTATGGGCAATGGGCTATGGGCAATTGTGTTCCCCCCACAGTCATTCTGACTGAAGACGCCCTCAGCCTTCAGAATGACTCAGAGAGCCTGTCTCTGGCTGGCACACTTCTTTCCAACATCCTCTGAAGGCAAAAAACTCTGCAGAATTTGGCCCTGTCTTTTTGTCTGGCCTCATGACAGCTCCAGTCTTCCTGGCTCTGTTCATTCTCTCCTCAAGATCTCTTTCCCACCCTAGAGAATCTTCACCCTTCACAAAGCTGCTGGCTATGGACACCATGTGTTTCCTCTCCTAAAAACTACAATCTTTTAATTTACTTACCAACTTTATGCATGAGAGTAAGTTCTCCTCGTACATCTTTGTCCTCATCCTCATAGAAGGTGCCTAGTGTGGCAGCATAACGAAGCAGCTGAGGAGGTCTTCTGAACCGAAGGCCTGGAATCCTAGCGATCTCCAGTTTCTCTTCTTCCTCCTCCTCCAGCTCATCATCATCTAATGCTAAGAAGACAGAGCCAGCTTCAGAGCTTCATCTTACCACTCTGGTGTTCAGTCCTCCTTTTACAGCTTTTTATGTGTTAGATTTTTTAAGTCAGACCAATATTATTTAAAAATGTACAGTACATAAAATAGTCACACTTGATCTGTTTTTATTATCTATATGAATAAATAGAGTACATATTAGCAGGAAAATGAGGAAAGAACAACTAAGCCTCATCTAAAACCCTAGATCTAAACTCTGAATCTGGGGTTGGACAAGTCTGCAGCTCAAATCAACAGTTTGATCTAAGTTAAACTTGTTATGTTTACAATGTGATCAAAATACTCACAAATTTGGGGGAGGGAAGGGCAGGCAGCAAGGGGATGGGGCATGTAATTCCAGGTTTGAACTTTAGCACGTTCAAATTTGGCTCAATATAGGGTATATCTACATTGCAATCAAAGTGTGACTGCAGCACATTAGACATACCCAAACTAACTTTGATCTAGTTCAGGGATCGGCAACCTTTGGCCCGCGGCCCGCCAGGGTAAGCCCCCTGGCAGGCCGGGCCGGTTTGCTTACCTGCCGCGTCCGCAGGTTTGGCTGATCACAGCTCCCACTGGCTGCGGTTCGCCGCTCTAGGCCAATGGGGGCTGCAGGAAGCGGCGGCCAGCACGCCCATCGGCCCGCGCCACTTCCCGCAGCCCCCATTGGCCTGGAGCAGTGAACCGCAGCCAGTGGGAGCTGCAATCGGCCGAACCCGCAGACACAGCAGGTAAAGAAACCGGCCCGGCCCGCCAGGAGGCTTACCCTGGAGTGCTGCGGCCAAAGGTTGCCAATCCCTGATCTAGTTAGTTTGAATAACAACAGCCGTAAAGATGGGAAGCGTGGGCAGCAGCACAAGCTCACCCCTCAGGGACATAGGCAGGGCTCGGTGAGGCTTGTACAGACCAGTCTGCTGCCTGTGTTGCTGTGGCTTCACTGCTATTCTTACTTGAGCTAACTAGATTAAAGCTAGCTTGGTTCTGATTACACATGCTACGGTCCCAACTCTGACTGCACTGTAGACATACCCTATATTGGACCAAATGCTGAATTTCAAATCTGGAATTACATGCCCCATCCCCTTATTGCCTGCCCCTTTCCTCCCCCAAATTTGAGAGTACTTTGATCATACTGTAAACATAACAAGTTTGAATTTAGATCTGCTGCTCAATTTACAGATTTTTGTTTTGGGCCTGGCTCTAAAACACATGAAAAGCTGAAAATTCAGCACTACAAGAATATAGAATTAGCTGCTTTTTTCAGCTGGATAAAAATATCAAGCTCCCCACCATAGTTTAGTCAATGATTAAACTAGATTATTAAATGAGAAGTCATTGGACCAAACTCTGTCCTAGTTACATTGGTAGAAATCCAGAGTCACTCCATTGACTTCAGTGGGGATATTCTGGATTTGCACTGGTTTAACAGAGCAGAATTTGAGTCTCTGTATTTTTTATGTGATGCCTATCTTCTTAATGTAATTGAAATGAGCAATATTAACTTGTCAAAATAAAATACGTTGAGATTTTGAGAGCAGTGCAGTAAATTTAGCCACACATCTTCCATTAATCTGATGGCCAAGCCACTATTTTGAGTGCTCACATTGGACCTACATGCTTCATATGGCTTGCCTTCACTACCTTTAAGGTATCTCAAGTTGGGCACCCAAAAATCTCTAGTCTCTTTTAGAAATCTGGACTCTAAAGTCAGGTTCTAAATCAGAGAGAAGTGTTTAATTGTCTTCAAGCTTTACAATAACTTACAGATGCAGGAATGTCTATTGAGATTAAGTCTGTAGCCTTCTCTACACATGCACTCGTATGACCCCAGAGAATTAACACAGATATGCTCACAGCTGGCATTGTCAGCAAGACACTCATCCACATCTGGAAAACAAATATTAATGGTAACAGGTAAATGGTAACAGGTAGTGACGGGTAAACTAGTTTGGATAAAGCAAGAGCCTACCTGAATCTTTGTCCAAATTTTAAAACTCATTCTGGAGATCTGGAAAATGTTGTTTAATTGTTTTCCCATTCCAATGGACCTTTGTGCTCCCCAGTTCCCACCATAAGTGCATGAGGGAAGAGGCTATTCTTGCCATGTTTATGGCTCAGCTAGAAGCCCCATAAAAACAGCACAGCTGGGTAGGTCCAAGAATCTGGACATGCATCCCAGCTTCTAGGGTTTAGCCAAATATTGGGGTTCACCCTTCATGTAAGATTACTAAGGCAATCATCTTTTATGACATGTCCATGTATCATGTGTATGGGGAAATGGGAAAAAAGTCTCCTTCTACACTGACTCATCTCTTCTGCTCCTGTATAGGGGCCTGTCTGTATACAATCCTGAGTCATGACTGCACCCCACTGTTATAAAATGGAAACAGTGCTAAAATCCTATCAACAAAGCAGTATTTGTTGCCATGCTCTCTTAGCAGGGAAATTGCTATGAAATGCTAGAAGAAGCTTCAAAATCTTTTTTCCTTTTGTGCTCTGAGTCAGCTTCAGCCATCAGTGATAAGACGTTTACCATCACATACGCAGCCATTGGCATTAAGCCGGAACCCTGCCTTGCAGCTGCACTCATGGCCTCCAATGTAGTTGATGCAGAACTGGGAACAGCAGGCCTCGCTGGACTCACATTCATCCAGGTCTGAAGGGAGAAAGCGGGGGTTCAGTTAGGCTTCCTGGTGGCAATTCAAACACCGGTTGTGCTGAACAGACTCAGGAAATGAATCTATTTTAAAAGACTGTCATTAATGCACTGTCGGTCATTTTAGCCTTCACAGTTTTGTAATTTAGATAGGAAAGATAATGTACTTCAGTGGCCAGGTTTGTGTGTCTTATTTATCACCTCCCCCATCTCAATTTTTTTTTAAATCTTCAGACAGGACTGTCTACAAGAACACTGCCACATATTAAGAACAGGTGTTGCCTACATTTTGTAGCAGGGGGACTTATTCTGCATTTGTACAGCATCTAGAACTGGTCTAGGACTGGCATCCTGGTCCATGACAGGGGGCTCCTATGTGTTACCAAAAGACCAATAAAACAACAACTCAATCACCCTAGCATATAACTAGCATCTCTTCACTAGTAATTAATCTACAGCGGATCATTTTTCATATGAATATTTTCAATCCTCAGGCCTGTTATGACATAAAATAGACAGCAGTGAACAGAAACCTCCGATTCAACAAAGCATTCTCAGACAAGAAGAAGATACATATTTATAAGCAATTTTACTTTTTGATACTCAACTTGCCACCATTTCATTCTGTCTTGTATAAGCAGGGAAATTTACGTGGTCAAAAACTGTTGTCCTGATTAACGGAAACAAGAATCAAGCTGCTATCTTTTAACAGCAGGCTCTCAGCTGATCTCAGCCCTTTTAGTGTTTTGAGCTATTAAGTGGCAATTCAAGAGGTAGCCTGTCAATGCTGAGTTCGCAAAATGCTTTTGACCATTAACTGGATGAGCAGCCACAGATGTGAAAAGTCAGTGTCTCAATTAACCTTGGAACGGGCACCAACATTATTAGGAAATGTACACACCAGAGAGTGGAGAAAGAAAATGTAATCAATCAATTAAGGCTAGAGGTCAGCACAAAATTGATTAAAGCAGATTATTTGAACAAGGAGTATTCCTTTTCCTGCAAATGTCACAAGCAAAGCTGCCCAGCAATATTTCAGATGATATCTTGTTTCCTAGTTCTATTAAAAGCTCATTGTGTACTTTGAAACATGCAGCTTGCAGCCAATGAAAAAAATGTTTGCTGTCAGAACACCTTTTCACTTCCTCAGCTCTGTTGAAATCTTCATATATGCTCTCACCTCACCTTCACCTTGACCATGATAACTTTCTTCTTTATGAGTACTCCATTAGCCCATCTCTAGGCTTCAGCATGTGCAGAATGCTGCTGCCTGTCTTATACACACACAAGAAACAAGGCTACATAATCCCATTGTTAACCCAGCTGGCTCCCAGTTCATTTCAGGATCCAGTCCAGAATTGACCCTCTTGTTTTAAAAATTGTCCATTATCAGCCTCTCTCACAGATCTCCACATTTTTCTTTCTACTCATCTAATATTTCCCTGCTTTCACATCCCATGGGAAATTTCTCACATAGTAGGAGGTGTAATCTTGGCAATGGATGAGCATAATAGGAGCTGAAGAACTTCTCTACCGCAAAGTGGACTCCAGGTGGGTGCACATCACTTTTGAAAATTAGTCCAATGTGCACAACTAGAGGTAATCATCTGCTGGTTGGCCTTGGAATACGGAAAACCTTGGAAAAAGGAACTTTAATCCCTGAGGAAACAAATTTGGGCTGTAAACAATTTGGTCATCTTGACAACAATTTCATGGAGGTGTCATTTTTCAATGCAGGTAGAAGCATTAAGTAATAATCCCACCAAACCCTCAATAGGCCACGTCGAAATATTGAATGGGAAGTTTAGACAAGCTCCAGTTTACTGAAATACCAAAAGGAAAGGACAAGAGGAAGGGGAAAAAACAGACACTTCCAAAAGCGAAAGCTTTATTCTAGGCTTCCCCTAACACATCCTTCTCCCTTTCTGTTCTGATGGACCATGTGTTCCCCCTCCCCTCTTTGAAAGAGATGCAGCATTTACCATATATTACCTATGCATGTTTTCCCATCCAAATCAAGGAGATATCCCTGGTTGCAAGAACAGTGAGGCCCACCAGGCGAGTGCTCGCAGTGATGAGAACAACCGCCATTATTGCTTTCGCAGCTATTGACAATTTCCATTTCGATGCCTTCCAGAGAAATGATCAAAAGAATATTAATAAGTAAGCACAAGAGGAGAGTAATTGGAGAATAGCCATCAATACAATATGTCCATACACTGATTGCTGGGAAGCTAAACACTGCGGTAGAAAATATAAACTCACCCACGCAGAGGTTAGAAGAGCATGTTGTGGGCTACTGAACAACGTTCCATTGTATCATATTCACCTTTGTGCTGAATAACTTGGTGCTGGCCCACAGTTACAGCAAAGTGTCTATTGCACTAGTGTACACAAAATATATATCCCCGGGTGCACTTTACATAGTCTTTGAACAAGGACAGTGAGCTTGCACACTAGAAGAAGAGATTGTAAGCATTCTAGGAAGCATGAGAATTGGACAGAGCGCTCACCAAGGCTGGGCTTTGCATTGTTCATTTCAAACAGGGTGCTCCTGCAAAAGCTGGCAGGCGGAGAATAAGTTTTCAAATTATTACAACAAATATTTTCATGTTTGTATTCATGTAGAATACCATAGCTCAGGAATGTAGCCCCAGACGTCCTACTAACCAGGAATGCGTGAAACATGCTGTCCTGGCACCCTTTGGTACATGAGAGATATTTGGAAGGAGGTGCACAGCAGCTGGAGTTTTCAGAAGGAATTCAGATTTATTTCTCCAGGATTTGTCCTGGGGGCTACAAGATTACATAGACTGCAGCTACACTGCCTCAATGCCTTCACCCTGCCATGACCCAGGCATCACTCTCAGCCTCTCTCTCAGTTTTCTTTCAGGCACCTTGTGGCTGCATAACACGACGAGAGAACACGGATATGGACTATGGTCCCCAACAAGGTTTTCCCCAGGCCCCTGTAGAAGGGCTCATATGGGAGAGGAAGTTCCTTACATCCTCATTCCCACAATGCCCTTCATTTGCACACCTGTAGAATGAAGGTGAATCATAATTCACCACTCTCAGTATACAGCCAGATTGCATCTTTTAAGCCTGGCCCCATTTTCAGGGTGATCCAATTTGCAACACCCCAGGAGGAGCACTGGAAAGCACTGTGTCTTAAGGAGCTGCCGTGTCTGCTGGAGCATTTCAGCACATAGAGAGAGTGTGTTTGCTGTTAGAGCCTGTACAAAGGTGCAGCTTATACTTGCCTCTGTGGCCAGCCATGTCAGCTGGTTGGTGTGTATATGTGGCTGTGTAATGGTGCCTATACTTTGCCCCTTCTTGCACCACTACCTGAGCAGTCCCTATGCTCAGAAGATCAGGGACTGCAGTACTGGCTGGTGCAGGTGGGAGGGGACAGAGAGAGAGAAGGCCATATATGGCAACAAAAATGATTAGGGATATAGAATGGCTTCTGTATGAGGAGAGATTAATAAGACTGGGACTTTTCAGCTTGGAAAAGAGGCGACTAAGGGGGGATATGATAAAGGTCTATAAAATCATGAGTGGTATAGAGAAAGTACATAAGGAAGTGTGATTTACTCCTTCTCATAATACAAGAACAAGGGGCCACCAAATGAAATTAATAGGTAGCAGGTTTAAAACAAACACAAGAAAGTATTTTTTCATGCAACGCACTATCAACCTCTGGAACTCCTTGCCAGAGGGTTTGTGAAGGCCAATACTATAACGGGGTTCAAAAGGGAGCTAGATAGATTCTTGGAAGATAGGTCCATCAATGGCTATTAGCCAGGATGGGCAGGAATGGTGTCCCTAGCCTCTGTTTGCCAGAAACTGGGATTGGGTGACAGGGTATGGATCACTTGATGATAACTGTCTGTTCATTCCCTTTGGGGCACCTGCCATTGGCCACTGTCAGAGGACTGGATACCGGGCTTGATGGACCTTTGGTCTGACCCAGTATGGCCGTTCTTATGTTATTATAGTAAGAAGTATGACTGTTTATTCAGAGAGAGGAATGATGGTTGAGGGAGGGAGGGGTTCCCTGGGACTCATGAGACCTGGATTCCATTCCTTGCTCCATTTACTGTGTCACCTTGGACAAGTCATTTCAATGGGTGTTAAGCACCTAAATACCTTTGAAGATTTGGGCCTTAGTCTCTCTGTGCCTCAGTTCTCAATCTGTAAAATGAGGATTAATAGCACTGCCTGGTCCTACAGGGGTGCTGTGAGGATAAATACATTAAAGACTGAGGTGCTCAGATAACGTGGTAGTGGTGGCCATGTAAGTACCTAAAACAGATTCAGAATATTTTTTTTAAAAAAATTTCTTAATGTTGTATACAAAGCGTGCATAATTCTGCCCCACAAAGATTTGTCAGTTAATAAGAAAAATCTTTGCATAAAACAAGAATGAACCCGAGTGGTCTAGACCCCTTATACTGCTCACATAAGATAATTTTCTGTGTATCAATAGCATCTCTTTTTGCTATTGTGAAATGCATTGTTCCTCATTTGGATCTCAAATAGCTTTCCAGTCCCTCTCAAATACTTTGTTTTGATAATAATTGGACATTTAGTTTTATTTGTATGATTTGAAATTGCTTTTTCCCCCTCATTAAAACATTTCATAGAATAATCCCCACGCCCCTTAAACATTGTATTCACCTCTAGTACGCAATGTATGTGGGAAATTCTGCTGAAAACCTCTGTCCAGCATCATTAGATTGAACAGTTACTGCCTGCCTCTTCACTAAAACAGGTCATGCTTTTGTCTACTACAGCATTCCAGAGAGCTTACACCAGACCCATAAAAAACACAAACTTTTCCAGCCCATCTCCTTTATTAATCTAAAATCTACCCTTTAGGTTAGCCTGAGGATCACTTATCACAGGGAGCAAGTTACTGGTTTGTTAAGTAGGGGATGTTTAAGAGAGCCAGCTGTGAAGCATTTAAACATTGATTGAGGAAGAACGACTGGGAATTTAATAGCCTTGGAAGTCTTAGTTCCTATTTTCATCATCATAGATCTTGCTTTTTTACTCAATACGCTTTTCTAAATGTCAGGGGAGTCCTGAGTAAATCCAGAGAGATGACGAGCATGTCAGGCTCCCATGTGGGTTTTCCCTTTGCAGCAGGTACATGGCATGAGAAAAAGGAGGGTGAGAATGAATAAATTTCATCTAACATCAGTAAAATGCATAGGTGTCTTTGGGTAACTCCAGAATTACACTCGCCATATAATTCATTACCTTTCGAAGATAAACCAGCGGGGCTGTTTGCCCTTTGAAACCAAGGGGCCTGTTTGTAGTGGAGTAATGGTTGAAATACATGCTCAAGAATATATAAATTTGCAAAATGGCAGCAGCGTTTCTGATGAAGGCAAGAATATTCACCTTGCATTTTTGCATCCTTTTTTATTGCTGGGAGTTCTAATCTGATTGCATTAAAACTGAAGTACTGCATTATCCAGGTAAGATCACCTGAAATGTGTTGCTGTAAAACTTTCACTTACGGTAGCACTGCTTTCCATCAGCCCCCAGCTCAAAGCCAGGATTACAAATACAGGTGAAGGACCCTAGGGTGTTCACACAATGATGAGCACACCTGGCTGTCTCTTCTGCACACTCATCAATGTCTGCAAAACAAAGAGATCAGCAGTGAGATCAGTTGGGAGATTTTAAAGAAGTTATACCCTCCCATGCTCATATAAACAAAAGTCTTCAGAAGTGTCCATTGAAATAATGTCTTATGGTTAGTAGACAAGGCAGCACCTAGCAATTCCACAAACACTGAAGCCACAACACCCTCCTTCAAAATAATACTTTACATGTATACTATCACATTTCACCTGAGGCTGTCATCACTAGACCACACTCCTCATACCCATTACTTTTAAACCAATGGTAAAAGAGAGACCTGATTATCTATACTACTCGGACAGTGTCAAATCGGTTTGGATACATCCTGAATGGTACATCCTCCCAACAAGATTTCTGCATGGGATGGTGCCATGGAGACCAGCACCCACTCTGCTGCACCACCCCTGAGCTTCCTCCATACATCATATGTCTACACTGCAACCAGGGGCCGTGATTGCGGCACACACAGACATACCCGAGCTAGCTTTAATCTAGCTAGCATAAGTACCAAAAGCAGCGAAGCCAGGGCAGCACAGGCTTCAGTGCAGGCCATAGGAACCCATCTGGGATCCTGGGTACTTATGCGGGGCAGCTAGTACAAGCTAAAGTCCATGTTGTGGTGGCTTCTATGCTATTGGTACTCACACTAGCTAGATTAAAGCTAGCTCAGGTATGCCTATACATGCTGCAATCACATCTCTGATTGCAGAGTAGACATATCCACAAAGTTGAGTTAAGTGATAGCTACACTGATCAAAGGAGGGGCACTCCAAGTCTTCCCTGTGAAAAGGGGAAAGAGATGCACATGGAACAGGGTCCTCTACAAACAGATCAAAGTGCTCTGACCCATCATCATTGTAATGAACCATCTGAACTCTGCAAATTAAGTGTCAGTACAGAAGAATATAGTTCAGCACAGCTGGAAAACCCAAAGGAGCAGGAGGAGGATCGCTTTCAAGAACAGGATAATGAACAAGATTCCTCATGCTAAAAAGCCAAGTACTGACCTTGTAGAGCATAACTGCACAAGAACAAAAACTAAGAAGCTCAGATTTCTTTCTAAGTTTACATTTCTGGCTATTTCATTTTAATTTTCCCAAGGTACATTTTGTAATTAGCCAAGCATGCTGGGTAAGGAGAAGTTCTGCGCTCCTCACCAAGACCCTTTTATGGCACAGCAGCATGTAACATTATGCATGTGATCAGTGCCTTCGCAAGAGTGGGGCCCAGGGCTGTACAGAAACCATTTGCTCCTTTGTGGAAGTTTTCAGGGTGAAATATTTGGCAGCTTCCCTGACGTTGTCACAGTGTAAAGCTTGCCAAGATTTTATTCAGATTCATTAATTAGCTGTCACTTTGCAAGCTGGAGATTTTGGCAAGATTATGTGAATTTTCAAAGGAACCTCAGAGAGCTCATTGATTTAGGCACCTAACTACCTTAGATTTTTCTCAAAATCCACTTGGAAACCTATCTTTTTTATATTTGGAATTCTTAGCCTTAGTGATTTCTCTCCACAAAGTGGTTTCTCTATTAATATGAAAGTAGTTTCCTGGCTGAAAATCCGTTTGAATTCTAAATAGGTTGTCACTGACCTAGATCAGAGTGTTATCTGAACCAATTTTCCTATATCTTCATCTGGGGCACTATTTCATAAGGGAGTCACGTGCATAATGCCAGATTGCCCATAGATCCTCATCCAATTAACAGTAAATACAATTTCTTAACAGATTAAAATGCATAACTGTCATTATTAAAACGACCTTCAGAGGTCTAGGGATAGTCAAAAAATAAAATAGAACTGCTGTTTTGTATCACACATCCATATGTGCAAGTGAATGCACATGGGTCTTTGTGAAAATATTATTTTATATACACACATATATTTATATAAGGTGTGCATGTGTGAAAAATATTATATTCTATACACACGGTACATACACACAAACACAAGTTACTCATTTCCATTACAAGTGCAGTTACCCTGAAACTCCAAATAATGCCCTTCTTCCCCATTAATTAGTCTTTTTTGCAGCTTCTTACCTCCACAGGACTTTTTGTCTGCAGAAAGATAGTACCCAGGATGGCACTCACACTTTGCAAGTCCTCTCTCGTTTTGACAGATGTGTGAGCATCCTCCGTTCCCACTTGCGCAGGGGTCCATCACTGAAAGCAATTAAATTTACTGTCAACTTAAAGGTCATGCTTTTGTCTGAAAATGGTTTTACCTTCCACTGTTGCAAGATTACTGTAACTTAGGGTATGTCTACACTGCAATTAAACACCTATGGCTGGCCTGTGTCAGCTGACTCTGGCTCATAAGGCTTGGACTGCAGTGCTGTTTAATTGCAGTGTAGACATTAAAGCTCAGGCTGAAGCCTGGGCTCTGGGACCCCGCGAGAGGGATAGGGTCCCAGGGCATGGACACCAGCCCAAGCCCCTATGTCTATACCACAATTAAACAGCCCTGTAGCCTGAGCACTGCATGCTGAGTCAGCTGACATGGGCCAGCTACAGGTATTTCATTGCAGTGTAGACACACATGAATGTAGACATTTACTGAAAGATTAAAGAGGAAAAAAAATTTGACAGCACTTTGTTATAGTTACATTCACCGTTTCATTATACTCCCTTTCCTCTGTTTGTGTGCATCTTTCATACAGCAACGAGAACAGAAAATACATTTACAAAAAGACACTGCCTTTAGTCCTCTGCCTTTTTTGGTTGATATCTGACATCTGAACAGGCACTTGGCCAATGACATGACAAAGTAGTGGGCTGAAAGAGGCAGAAGATATATAGCAGTCGAGGAACTTTTAATGATGGTGTAAAATACACTCAAGTAACTCATGTAAATGATTATTTTAAAACAAGCAAACAAGATCCTAACACAACTCGGACTAGATTCCTTCCAGCCTTGAGAAACAGGGAACCCACAGTACTAAATTGGCACCTTCCCTATTGTTCTATAATTACTAGGCATTGTCTATCCATTGCTGATGAACTGCTGCCCTCAGTGGCTGGCTAACCCTAATCAGCCCCAATGGTGTCAGAGAGTAAACCTTTACAGTTGTTTGCACTGCAGTAATAGAATTCACAAATTAGGGGCCTGATCAGACTTCCATTTAACTCAATGACCGTTTTGCCCTACTATTTTGGAGACCAGTTGCCCACTCTCCCCTGCTAACAGTCTCATCATTTGGTTCATCTTGATTAACATGAATGTTATACATTCAGCCACACAATAGGCCATGCTGACACCAGAACAGGCATAGAAGAAAAACCTCGCTCCAAATCTTCCACTGAAATGCCATCAAGAATTCAGTTCAGATTGACTCTGTGCAGAACAGAGATTGTACATAAAGTTGGATGGCCAAATCCTCAGGCAAAAGTCACTGCAAACATGCTGAGTTGGAAATGAGTAGAACTGCAGGATTTACTCCTTAGTCTTTATATATAGTGTACTGCAGAATAGAAACAATATACAGCTGACTTTTTGACGGGAGTTTTGGCTGAGTAAGGACACAAGATTTTGCCCCAATCACCTATGACATATGCAAGTGTATAGTGCAGATTATCATTGCCTTGAGAACTGATGAACTAGTTAACATTTGCAAAAGAAGGAAAAAAACCCCAGGGTAGTATGATTGTTCTATTTGAACAGCAGCTAGCACAATGGGGTTCTGGACTATGACTACGTGCTGCAGTAATACAAATAATAAATGATTGTCAGACAATTTGGTTTAATATCCTGAAGAGGACAGATGAATCAGAATGTGATTACTGATAACAAAAACTAAAAATGGACAAAGACTATACCTTATGCTGAGTCATAAATTACTACACAAACCATAATTAGGTATGTCTTAAAGAGCAATTAAATATTACGGTTTAAATGATTTTAAGTTCCTACTTTAACTCAAACCAGCATTTAAGGCATGTCCAGAATGACCAGGGATCTATGTAACCAGTAACAAGCTCATGGAAGTCAACAAAAGTGAACCTTGCTCCTCAAAAATTTTTATTTAATGCAGTCATTGAAAACCTATATCTGTTTCTGGCAAGATAGGTGTAAAATAAATTGTAAATAATATATTGTCTAATGCACAAAGGTATATGCATCATCTTTATCGCTAGTAAAGTGTGCTCACGTCAAGTGCTCTAGGACTTACTTTCACAGTGTTTGCCATCTCTCTTCAGCTGGTAGGGTGGATGGCAGTGGCACTTGTGGTGGACATCACTGATCTGAACGCACGCCTGTTCACAGCCCCCGTTGTGAACAGTGCAGGAACTGACAGCTGGAGCAAAGGAAGCATGAATGCATGAAAGATGTCAAAAACAGAGCTTCTCTGGAAACAACTCAAAGGGTACATTGCAGGGCAAAGTGCAGTGCAGTTTTCACTTCAGATAGGGCTTTGTGCCATCTGGGTCATCAGCAGGCACAGATTTAAGGGAAAGGCCCAGTTGGCAAATGAAGTGGTAGTACCTCAGTGATAGATTCTGGAGTTGGAGTGAGGCAGCCAGAAGGTGAGGGGGGAATGGAGCAGTGGCAAGGAAGAAATAAATGGCCAGCTAGGTACCAGAGAAGAGTTGGGAAAAGCTACAAAAGTGGATGAGAGCTGGAGTGGCCACTGGACCAAGCAGGATGTACAGGCTATTAGGGACAGATTTAGATTAGATCAAAGAGTTGCAACACAGACTGAAGCATTGCAACCCGTTGATGTGAGGTCTGGTCTACACCTAAAACATAGGTCGATCTAGCTACACCGCTGAAGGGTATGAAAATTCAGACCCCAGACAGATATAGTTAAGCCGACCTAAGCCATGGTATAGACACCACTAGGTTGATGGAAGAATTCTTCTGGCAACTTTAGCTACTGCCTCATGAGGGTGTGGCTTTACTACTGCGATAGAAAAATTCCTTCTGTGGCTGTAGCAAGTTTCTTCAGTCCAGCTCTATCCCCACATAGTTGCAGCACTGCAGCCGTGTCGCTGTAGCATTTGTCGTGTAGACAAACCGGAGATTAGCAAAACGGATAAGAGGCAGAATGTGAGAGAGTACGTGTGTGATTATATGTGTATACACACTCACAAATGTGTGCATACATGCACGTGTGGGTGAGGGAGCTATTCAGACTTTCGGGGGGAGATATTCATGGGGGGGTAGGTTCTGAACTGTCACGTGTTGCCAATTTTCATGATTTTATCATAACACTCACACTAAATGGTATTTTTCATAAAGCCCAGTCTTCTGGAGTCATGGGATTGCATGAGAATCTCAGTTTTCATTTAAAAGAAAGAAGTTTCTAGCCCTCATGGACACAGAGATATGCTTGAAAATTACCAGAGTGCACATTCAAATAGAAAACAAATTAAAAAGAACCCCAATTTTTTTGGCTGAATTTCCATATTTTTAAGCCAATCATGATGTTTTGGCATATGACATGATTTTTGAACGCTTCAGACTAGCAATATTGGGCAGGGAGGGGGGGTGGAGTTCTCAGCCTGGGACATAGGCGTGTGTGTGAGGAGGGGGTCATTTTGAGTTCTGGGGTTGGGATGGAGGGAACAAACAGGGGCATGGTTTGGGTGTCTGGGCTGAATGCTGGAGAAAATGGATTCAGCTGGTGGTGGCAGCAATAGTGTGTGTGTGGTGGGAAGACGGTAGGGTAAGAACCTGAATCAAGGGGCAGAGTTTGAGACTAGGGGAGGACAGGAAAGTGAGTCACAGAGGGGTAATTACTGTTTCCTCCACACTGCTATTAACTGAAAAGCATTGGAGTTTTTTTATTGTGTAGTGGGAGGTGAGGGGAGAAGGAAGTGGGTGTCTCTTTTTCTTCCCACCTACCCACCAAACCCACTTATGGGCCAGCAAAAAGCTTCCCTTTGATACCTTTGACTATGGTCTCCCAGTTTTTCACTTTGATAACATGATCATACTCCAGAAGTCAGAAGTGTAGAGGGTGCTACCTGCAGTGCCTCCATTTATTTTGGGCACCAGCTGCCACTGTGTAAACTACATAATTTACAAATCAATCATTTCCCCTGTACTTACCTGGCAAGACCTGTACTCAAGACTCCATGTTTGCCCCTCCGCAGCTGATAACAAAACTTTGGATGCAGCACTTTCTGCTCTGCTCTTCAAAGTTGCAAAAAAAATGCAGACACCCTCAAACTCAGGGTGTGGCATAAAAATGGGCATGAATATATGTGTAACTTTTAAATCTACTCATGTATCTGCTAGGGCCAAATCCTGGGAACAGGTATACAGAACCCTGCCTTCCCCTAACCATTTCCATTGTCTAAGGGTTTCATCACAATGGGGAGGGGCAGGGATCTGGGTTCTTAAACAGTTAATTTTTACATTTATTTATTTGTATATTTGTACAAAGTCTTTGCTGTTCATTGTTAGATGTATAAAATATCCCATGTGACTGGTACACACAGTCTCTTAAGAATCAGGCTCTAGAAGCATATGTCCATATTTTTATATTCTATAGTCTAAACTGACTAGAGAGAGGAACTGTAATCTCTGATTCTGATATGTTTTGCATTTAGTGACACGGCAAATCCTGGATGATAGTTTGGTAGGTAACATTTCTTTGTCTCCTTTACTCTTAACCCTGGTGAGAAGGAGGCCCCACGTAACAAAAATAGATCCTGACAGTTCTAGTGTACAGAGCAGGAATAAGAGGCACCAGCTGACATAAGGAATTTATACATTAGCGTCAAAGAGCCATATTTGCCTTTCACTTCCAGTGGCATCAGAGGCAATAAACTACAGTGCAGTCAGTAGATTTCCAGACACCAATCAGTTCAACTTTAATGCAGATGTTAAGATATTCTACATGCTCAAGATGGGAGAAACAAAAAAAATATTGAGACATAAAAGGCTTTGGTTATTTTAATGACCTAATCCATAAAGAAGATCGACAGATCTAGAAATGGCTACAATATGAATGGAGATTTGTAGAACAAAAATTTAGGAAAGACGAAGAAATGGTGGAGGTTTCAGTGAGGATGGGATGATGGCAAAAAACAAAGTATCAGTGATCATCAAAGGATCAATGCACAAAACTGTACCTTCTACTATATGTAACTGAACAGGCCAAACTATTTTAGAGAGATTGATCTTGCCATGATACCTTCACAACAGTCATTAATGGGAATGGAAGAAGAGACCATACAGATTGGTTTCCTACAAAAATTATTATTTGGAGATACACTGTAGGCACTGGTATGGGGCAGTGAATTATATGGGCCCATGGTGCCCATGCTCCAGCAAATTCAGGGCCTGGAGGCCTGGATCCACCAATGTTCGGGGCCGGGTCTCTCCGTGCTGTGCTCCCTCGCCGGCCGCTGCTGGCTACAGAAGGGAGTGGCACTGGCGGTAGGCTGAGGCAGTGCTGCAGCCAGTGCCTGTGGAGGGGAGGAAGCACACATGTGATGGCAGCCTTCCCCTCCCCACCCCCCCCGGCACCCACTACAGGAGGCGAGGGGGCTTCCTGGACCTGAGAGGGGCCCGGCCCCCAGGAGCATCTGCAGTGACAGTGGTGCGAGGTGAGTGCTGCCGGGATGGGGGGCCCTCCCCCTGAGCTCCTGGCTGCCGGCAGGGGAGAGGGCTGGGGGGACTGTGCTTGCCTGCACCCCAGACTCCTCATTCCCAGCCCCATGTCCCCCCACATTGTGCAATATAGGGAAACTGTTAAACGCTTACTGTTTCAAATCCATTTTTACATTATTTTAAAAAATATGTATCAGCTTACAAGGCAGGGATGTGTGTGGGGGAGGAGGGCACTTGAACCCATTCTGGGCACCACCAAAAATTATACAAACCTGTGGCCCCTGGAATGGGGTTCATAAGAGGTTATAATACTTTTATTGATTCAAAACTCTCTTTGATGCAATGGAAGCTGGATAGGGCTCAACTTGAAGAACTGGTGGGAGAACTTCAGCAAAGATCTGTTCAATAAAGCACCCAACACATGGATGTTCATTAGAAGTTTGTCCCACCCTCTTGGGGCTGCAAAAACTGGCTACAGTCTTCGGAGAATGTGCCTACATATTCATCTGAAACCTCCAGGCCATATATATTGGAAACTCTGCCTTCCTCATATGGGTTTTTTTTTCTTGCACTTTTCTTCCTCTAAATGCAGAGCCTTCAAAAAGAAAAATAATAGTGGGGGGGGGAAGTAAACAGAGCATTTCAGTCTTCAGACAAGTTGGGTTTGGGTTCAGCCTAGAACTGGGCAAAGGTTTTGCGCAAAGGGATGTGGGTTTCTTCTATAGTCGAGAGAATAATTTTCCAAAACCAACGTATTTGGGGGAAGTAGTCTCTTTTTCTGCTTGATGAATATTCATGAGCAGATTGCTATTATCTCAAAAGTATTTGCATTTTCTGAACAAATATTGTTACAAATGTTTTACACTATTGGAAATTCTAGCTGTTTTGCTTAGTTGTGACAGGTCAGAAGAGGCACACATTATTGTTTCTGCTTTCTGATCAAATGAGTGTTCCAACATTTTTATATTCTGTCATAAATATAAAGGGAAGGGTAAACACCTTTAAATCCCTCCTGACCAGAGGAAAAACCCTTTCACCTGTAAAGGGTTAAGAAGCTAAAATAACCTCGCTGGCACCTGACCAAAATGACCAATGAGGAGATAAGATACTCTCAAAGCTGGAGGGGGCGGGAAACAAAGGTTCTCTCGGGCTGTGGGTTGCTTTTGCTGGGACTAGAGCAGGAATGCAGGACAGAACTCCTGTAAAAAGTCAGTATGCAATCTAGTTAGATATGCGTTAGATTCTGTTTTGTTTAAATGGCTGATAAAATAAGCTGTGCTGAATGGAATGTATATTCCTGTTTTTGTGTCTTTTTGTAACTTAAGATTTAGCCTAGAGCGATTCTCTATGTTTTGAATCTGATTACCCTGTAAGGTATTTACCATCCTGATTTTACAGAGGTGATTCTTTTAATTTTTCTTCAATTAAAATTCTTCTTTTAAGAACCTGATTGCTTTTTCATTGTTCTTAAGATCCAAGGGTTTGGGTCTGTGTTCACCTATGCAAATCAAGCCTTCCCCAGGAAAGGGGGTGTAGGGCTTGGGAGGATTTTTTTTGGGGAAAGACGTTTCCAAGCAGGCTCTTTCCCTGTTATATATTTGTTAAGACGCTTGGTGGTGGCAGCAATAAAGTCCAAGGGCAAAAGGTAAAATAGTTCGTACCTTGGGGAAGTTTTAACCTAAGCTGGTAAAAATAAGCTGAGGGGGTTTTTCATGCAGGTCCCACATCTGTACC